CCATCCTAAGAAACTAAGAGAGAACAAACTAAGTCCAAAGCCTGCAAAAGTAAAAAATAATATACATAAGAATGAAAATTAATGAAACAGAAAAACAGAGAAAATAAAGTGAAAAGTTGTTATTTAAAAAAAATCATTAAAATTGACAAGTCTTTAGTTGGTTTGACAAAGAAAAAAGAAGACAATAACATGAGGAATGAAAGGGGATATAATCTGACCGTACTGAAAGCTAAGGAAACATAATATATAACTTTATGCCAGAAAATTATATAACTTAGATATAACAGATAAATTCCTGAAAGTACACAAATTACCAGACTGACTCAAAGAGCAATTAAAAATCCAAGTAAATCTCTACTAAAAAATTAAATCAGTGATTAAAAATCTTCCTACAAATGTGAGCATTTGGCTTAGCTTTGAGAAGCTATGCTTTGAGAAGGCGCTTGGGTCACCTGCATCCCCAGATCAGTGTGCCTAGGTTTGAGGTCTATACCCACCCTTGATTCTGGCTTTCCACTGATGCACACTCTGGGAAGCATTAGGTGATGGCACAGGTGGCTTTGTGCTTGCCACGTTTATGGGAGACCTGGACTGAGTTCCTAGTTCCTGGCTACAGTCTGGCTCAGTCTTAGCTGCTGTGGGCATTTGGGAAGTGAACCAGCTGATGGGAGATTTCTCTGTCTCTCTCCCTTTCAAATAAATAAATTTAAAAGTTATTCCCACATACCAAAAACAAAATAAAGGCCGGCGCCGCGACTCACTAGGCTAATCCTCCACCTTGCGGCGCCGGCACCCCAGGTTCTAGTCCTGGTCGGGGCGCTGCATTCTGTCCTGGTTGCCCCTCTTCCAGTCCAGCTCTCTGCTGTGGCCAGGTAGTGCAGTGGAGGATGGCCCAAGTGCTTGGGCCCTGCACCCGCCTGGGAGACCAGGATAAGTACCCGGCTCCTGCCTTCGGATCAGCGCTGTGCGCCGGCCGCGGCGGCCATTGGAGGGTGAACCAACAGAAAAGGAAGACCTTTCTCTCTGTCTCTCTCTCTCACTGTCCACTCTGCCTGTCAAAAAATAATAAAAATAAATAAATAAAAGTTTATGATATTAGGACAAATATGCTGGTAAATTATATCATATATTTAATAATTAAATGATATCTTTATTGTCTGAAGTAGACCCTTGTGTTTTTCCTGTTGAACAATAAAGGATAATTTCTTAAAATTTCCCTCTCTCCTATAAGTAAAATATTGAGTTTGAGTCATTTTTTTCAAACACTAGGTAGGTATTTTCTCTATGAAAAGTTAGTGAATGGTCTTGACTGAGGAGCAGAAACCCATGCCCAGTGTCTCCAAGCTAAGGCCAGTGCTGAAATTTCAAAGGGAGCCCAGTTGTTTCATCCTGGAAGCCTACTCTGCAGGTAACCCAGCCTGCTCTTACCAGCACAGAAGGATCCTGTGGCACTGGGAGAACCCTGGGAAGCTGGGGATCCACATGCACATGCGGCTGGGATTAGGATAGATGGAGAGGACAGAATACTCTGAGACTGCAGTTGTTACTGTACCGGAGCTGTTTCTAACATTGTCTTAAAAATGAAATCATGGGGCTAGCGCTGTGGCCTAGTAGGTTAACCCCTCCGCCTGCGGTGCCGGCATCCCATATGGGTGCCAGTTTTTGTCCCAGCTGTTCCTCTTCCAATCCAGCTCCCTGCTAATGGGCTGGGAAAGCAGTGGAAGATGGCCAAAGTGCTTGGGCTCCTGCACCCCTCTGTGAGACCCAGAAGAAGCTCCTGGCTTTAGATTGGTTGTAGTCAATTGAGGAGTGAACCAGTGGGTGGAAGACTTTTCTCTGTGTCTCTCCCTCTCTTTGTTTGTAACTCTACCTCTCAAATAATTAAATAAAATCTTTAAAAAACAAATGAAGTCGGGGCCAGTGCTGTGTTGCAGCGGGTTAACGCCTGGCCTGAAGCGCAGGCATCCCATAGGGGTGCCGGTTCTAGTCCCAGCTGCTCCTATTTTTTTTTTTTTTGACAGAGTGGACAGTGAGAGAGACAGAGAGAAAGGTCTTCCTTTTTGCTGTTGGTTCACCCTCCAATGGCCGCTGCGGCCGGCGCACCGCGGCTGGTGCACCACGCTGATCCAATGGCGGGAGCCAGGTACTTCTCCTGGTTTCCCATGGGGTGCAGGGCCCAAGCACTTGGGCCATCCTCCACTACACTCCCTGGCCACAGCAGAGAGCTGGCCTGGAAGAGGGGCAACCGGGACAGAATCCGGCACCCCGAGCGGGACTAGAACCCGGTGTGCCAGCGCCGCAAGGCGGAGGATTAGCCTAGTGAGCCGCAGCGCCGGCCTGCTCCTCTTCTGATCCTGCTCTCTGCTATGGCCTGGGATAGCAGTAGAAGATGGCCCAAGTCCTTGGGCCCCTGCACCCGCATGGGAGACCCTGAAGAAGCTCCTGGCTCCTGGCTTCAGATCGGTGTAGCTCCGGCCCTTGCGGCCATCTGGGGAGTGAACCAGCGGATGGAAGACCTCTCTCTCTCTCTCTCTAGCTCTCTCTGTAACTCTGTCTTTCAAATAAATAAAATAAATCTTTAAAAAAAAATGAAGTCTTGATTTGAGCTAGGATATGACTTTCTTTCAAAGGAGCATTGCAATAGAGAAAGCCCCACTTAATAAATCTGCAAGCATCTCAAAGGTTAGGCACAAAAAGAAGTTTTTTTTTTCTTTGTTTTGTTTTTTTAATGGGGAGAAAATTCCATTAAATATTTAATTTCAGTAAATTATATCAACTCTTTAAAGAATAAATAATAATCTTCTTAACAAACTTGTAGAAAATGAGGAAGGAAGTGTTCCCAAGTAATTCTAGGAGGCCAGTACAACGCTGATAAAAGCTAGATATATCGCATAGAAGCTCTATGAAAGATTCTAAGGAACTCTCTCTATCATACATACACACACACATACACAGAGAGAAAAAAATAGAACTGATGCATGAATATTAACAAGGCTACAAGATACAAAGTCAGGGGCTGGCAAGGTGGCGCAGTAGTTTAATCCTCTGCCTGCAGTGCTGGCATCCCATATGGGCTCCTTTTCTAGTCCTGGCTGCTCCTCTTCCAGTCCAGCTCTCTGCTATGGCCTGGGAAAGCAGTACAAGATGACCCAAGCTCTTGGGCCCCTGCACCCACATGGGAGATCTGGAAGAAGTTCCTGGCTCCTGGCTTCAGATCGGTGCAGCTCTGGCCGTTGCAGCCATCTGGGGAGTGAACCAACGGAAGACCTTTCTCTCTGTCTCTCTCTCTCTTTTTATTTTATTTTATTTTTTTTTAAATTTTTTTGACAGAGTGGACAGTGAGAGAGACAGAGAGAAATGTCTTCCTTTTGCCATTGGTTCACCCTCCAATGGCCGCCGTGGCCGGTGCACTGCACTGCGGCCAGCGCACCGCACTGATCCGAAGCCAGGAGCCAGGTGCTTCTCCTGGTCTCCCGTGGGGTGCAGGGCCCAAGCACTTGGGCCATCCTCCACTGCACTCCCGGGCCACAGCAGAGAGCTGGCCTGGAAGAGGGGCAACCAGGACAGAATCCAGCCCCCCAACCGGGACTAGAACCCGGTGTGCCGGCGCCGCAGGCAGAGGATTAGCCTATTGAGCCGTGGCGCCGGCCTGTCTCTCTCTCTTACTGTCTGTAACTCTGCCTCTCAAATAAATAAGTAAAATCTTAAAAAAAGATACAAGGTCAGTATGCAAAGATCTGTTTTTTCCCCATAGTTGTAAAGAGTTTATTTGGGGAAGCAGCAATTCATGAATTGGAAAGCACTACAGTAAAAGAGGGTTTAGAGCTGTGATGACAAAGCCTCAGGCAAGTATTTTAGGGTGAATACAGATAAAAAATAAAGAAATTGTTTGCAGTTATAAAATTGGCTTTTTTGGTTTATTTTATTGGAAAGTCCCTAGGCACAGACCCACCTCTTAGTTGCTGTTTAAGATTGACTGAGGTTGTTTGGTATCTAACATAAATATCAGAAACAACTAAAGTTTCACTTAGCATTTACAGTTTTAGCAAGGTTAAGGCTATTTTTAAGGCCTATTTGAATTTCCTTACTCAAGAATTTTTCAGGCTCTGTGTCTGTTTTCATTTCAATTAGAAATTACTCCGGCGCCGCGGCTCACTAGGCTAATCCTCCGCCTTGCGGTGCCGGCATACCGGGTTCTAGTCCCGGTTGGAGCGCCGGATTCTGTCCCGGTTGCCCCTCTTCCAGGCCAGCTCTCTGCTGTAGCCAGGGAGTGCAGTGGAGGATGGCCCAAGTGCTTGGGCCCTGCACCCCATGGGAGACCAGGAAAAGCACCTGGCTCCTGGCTCCTGCCATCGGATCAGCGCGGTGCGCCGGCCACAGCGCGCCGACAGCAGTGGCCATTGGAGGGTGAACCAACGGCAAAGGAAGACCTTTCTCTGTGTCTCTCTCTCTCACTGTCCACTCTGCCTGTCAAAAAATTAAAAAAAAAAAAAAGAAAAAAAAGAAATTACCAAACAGTTTGGACCACTGTAATGTTGGGTCTTCCTGCCCAAGAATGTTGTGTATATTCATTTGTTCAAGTCTAATTTATTTTGTTAAGTAATGTTTTATAGTTTTTGAAAATTTATGTGATGAAAAAATATTACTTTTAGAAATAGATAGAGTACTTCAAAAAGTTTATGAAAATGAAATTAAAATATATTTTAGTTCAAGTATATTTTGAAATCCATACAAGGTTTTTTAAAATATAGATTTTTCATGAAGTTTTTGAAGGCCCCTCATATTTTTGTAAATTTTCATTAAATAGAGATAGAGTACACATCTGGAAATTATATAAGATCAGAAAATACACTAATTTAAATTTCCTTTCATGTAAACACAACAGTATTTCAAATGGACTAAATATTTAAAACAAAACAAAATTGGCTATTTTCAATCTTTGTAAATTTTAACAGAGATTGAAGCTAACCTAAATATTTTGGGGGGATATTTTCTTATAGGAACTTGATCAAAATGCCACTGAGAAAGTCCAGGCAATGTTCACAGCCATTGACGAGCTCTTGTATGAGCGGAAGTTGAGTGTGCATACAAAGAGTCTACAGGAAGAGTGCCAAGAGTGGACAGCTAGCTTTCCTCACCTCAGGTATGGAAGCTCTGAAGTTTACAAGGACGGGGGATCTTCAGAAAGTTCATATGAAAATTATGTATGGATTTCAAACTTCTGTGCACCAAAAAGAACTTAGCTCTTAATTCCTTTTCCATGAGTTTTCGAAGTACTTGCATATTCATGGCTAATACTAAAATTTAAAAAGTGGATTTCCAGGGGCAGATCTTTGGCCTAGCAGTTAGACACAGATTGGGACACCTGCATCCAAAATTGGAGTGCCTAGGTTTGAGTCCCAGCTCTGTTCCCAGTTCTGGCTTCCTACTAATATGTACCCTGCAAGGCTGCAGATGATGGCTCAAGTAGTTGGGTCGCTATCAGCCATGTGGGAGACCACGATTAAATTCCCAGCTCCCAAATTTAGTCTGGCCAAGCCCCAGCCATGGTGGACATTTGGAGAGTGAAAAGAAGCAGATGGGAGCTCGCTCTGTTTCTGTCTCATTCTCTGTCAAATAAAAAAAATGTTTTAAGTGGACTTCAAAAAAAGCTTGTATTCTGAGATATTTACAGGCATAATTTTAATGAACATAAGTAAGGCCATGTGGTATAAAGCTTCAGCCTAGAGAAAAGTCAAGTTGGTAGAAGATTCTTAGAGTTTTCCTAACTCCAACATGTCATCCTAACCAAGTAAAATAGTTTGTATACCATAGAGGTCTGGCTTTCATGCCTGTCCAAAGAGTCCTTCTTTTGAACAAGATTTTCAGAAAACGTGTTTGTATCCACTGTGGTCTATAATTCATGTCTAATTGACATAGGCTGTTCAGGAACTTATCTCAGAAACTGCTTTAGTATCACTGTGTACTTAAAATTGATAAAGCTTCGTGTTCTTAAGAATGATTCATAACTTCCACTAATTTGGCTGGGCCTTCATCCTATTTTGGTTGATCTAATATGGATTATTGGAGAGGGTGAAGGGCAAATTACAAGTGTGTGCTGAGTTTCTTTGTGCTTTTTTTAACTGCTAATCCATAACTTTTATCTTTCCCATCTCCACTCTGTGTAGAGAGATTTATCTATAGTAAAGATAATGTATGTGCATTTTCTCCCAAGAATCACTCTTAATCAGGATTAGACTAAGTGTGTACTGGACTTCTATGTACAGCCATCAAATTTGTTCCCAAAAAATCTAGATTATGTATGTGTGACAAGTGAAGCTGCTTATCTGTGTCTGTGTCTCTTTATCTTGAAGGATTCTAGGTAGGCAGATAATCACTCCAAGTGAAGATTATGGGTTGTATCCTAGATGCCCTTCTGTTCTTTCAGCTTCTCGTGAAGCAACCCTGCCTCAAGAAAGAGATTCTACAATGTAAGTGTACTTTTATGTATTCTAATACATAAGTATGGTATTCTACTTGTATATATTCTTTTTTTAAAAAAAAGATTTATATTTATTTGAAAGGCAGAGTTACAGAGAGGCAGAGGCAGAGAGAGAGAGAGAGAGAGAGAGAGAGAGAGAAGTCTCCCATCCACTGGTTCACTCCCCTAAAGGCTGCAACAACTGGAGCTGGGCCGATCCAAAGCCAAGAGCTAGGATCTTCTTCTTGGTCTCCCACATGGGTGTAGGGGCTCAAGGACTTGGGCCATCCCCCGCTGCTTTCCCAGGCCACAGCAGAGAGCTGGATCAGAAGTGGAGCAGCTGGAACTCGGACCCGGTGCCTATTTGGGATGCCAGCACAACAGGCGATGGCTTTACCTGCTACACCACAGTGCCAGCCCCTCTGCTTGTATACATTCTATAAGTATTATATGTCTTACTTGATATTTAGTAAAACAGGAAATTCTAGAAGATTCACCATAGTTTTTTTTGTAAGTTAAAATTGAGTTATATAATTTTTTGTTCAAAAAGTAAGATATTTCTGGAATTTAAGGATATTTTTGTTATTCAGATCTATATATCTATATATACATATATACATATGTATATAATCTGCCTCGTTATATCTGTCTATAAATACAAGTACTTCCTTAGAATAAATGTGTAGATAACATGGTTTTTCAAAATCTAGGGAATGGGTTTTTATGAAGCAGTTAACTTGCCTGCATCCCATATCAGAGTGCTTGGTTCAAGTCCTGGTTCCTGGGTTTCTCGGATCCTCTGCTTCTGATCCAGGTTCCTGATAATGTATCCAGGGAGGCAGCAGATGATGGCGCAGTACTTGGGCCCTGCCATCCATGTGAGAGATCTGGATTGACTTCCAGGCTCATGGCTTTGGCCTAGCCCATCCTCCGGTGTTGTAAGCATTTAGGGAGTGAATTGAAGTGGATTGAAGATCTTTCTCTCTCCCTCTCTCACTCTCTAACTCTACCTTTCAGATAAAATTAAATCTTTTTTAAAAAATGTTGAAAAGAGCCAGTGCTGTGGCTCACTAGGCTAATCCTCCGCCTGCGGCACCAGTACTCCGAGTTCTTGTCCCGGTTGGGGCGCTGGTTCTGTCCCAGTCACTCCTCTTCCAGTCCAGCTCTCTGCTGTGGCCCAGGAAGGCAGTGGAGGATGGCCCAAGTGCTTGGGCCCTGCACCCGAGTGGGAGACCAGGAGGAAGCACCTGGCTCCTGGCTTTGGATCGGCGCAGTGTGCCAGCCGTAGTGGCCATTTGGGGGGTGAACCAACGGAAGGAAGACCTTTCTCTCTGTCTCTCTCTCTCACTGTCTAACTCTGACTGTCAAATAAATAAATAGTTGAAAAGGTAATTAAAAAAAAAAATTTGGCCTGCACTGTGGCATAGTAGCTAAGCCTCCTATGGTGCTGGCATCCCATATGGGCACCAGTTCATGTCTCAGCTATTCCTCTTCCAATCCAGCTCTCTACTAATGGCCTAGGAAAGCCGTGAGGATTGTTCAAGTCTTTGGGCCCCTATACCCATGTGGGAGACCCGGACAAAGCTCCAGGCTCCTGGCTTCAAATCAACCCAGTTCTGCTGTTGTGGTCATTTGGGGAGTGAACCAGCAGATGGAAGATCTCTCTGTGTCTCTCCTCTCTCTCTCTGTAACTCTAACTCTCGAATAAATAAATAAAATCTTAAAAAAAATGCTAATTACAACTTTACAGAAAATAAACTTCAAAACAGTTTTAAAATAGCTGAATATTTAAATATCTTAAAAACAGTGGCAAAATATACCCAGATAGGATTATTTCAAAATCTATGCTTATAGTTAAATTGATTATAAAATATAATAGTATAGTTTTAATTATTTTAAAAGTATTCCCTTACTTTTTCCTAAGGCTATGATCTTACCTGATACTTTCCAAGAGTTGCAATAATACTTTTGGTGTGCTTCGGGGCTTGCAGTAATCTTACCAGACCACAAAGTAAATAATTAAATATTACTGTCCTCAGGTAGTTATGGATATGGGATCTGTGTTATCAGTTGATTTTTGGTCAGAGGATGGGATTTCTTCGCTTTTTCAAAGTGATTTAAACTCAAGCTTATGACTTTCTTTTTAAATGTATACTTCAGTTACATCAATTACTCTTTTTATTATTATTATTATTATTTGACAGAGTTAGACTGTGAGAGAGAAAAACAGAGAGAAATGTCTTCCTTCCATTGGTTCACCCCCCAAATGGCTGCTACGGCCTGAACTATGCCGATCTGAAGCCAGGAGCCAGGTGCTTCTTCCTGGTTTCCCATGCGGGTGCAGGGCCCAAGCACTTGGGCCATCCTCCACTGCCTTCCCGGGCCACAGCAGAGAGCTGGATGGGAAGAGGAACAACCGGGACTAGAACCCAGCGCTCATATGGGATGCAGGCACTACAGGCGGAGGATTAACCAAGTGAGCCATGGTGCCAGCCCCTCATCAATTATGAAAGAAAGAAACAGAGAGAAGGAAAAAGAGAGAGAGGGAAGGGAAGGAGGGAGGGAGGGAGGGAGGGAGGATGGGAGGGTGGGTCAAAGTTACCGAGAGACAAGGAGAGACAGTGATGTCTTCCATCCACTGGTTCACTCCCCTAGTGGACGCAACAGCCAGGGTGGAGTCTCTGGGTCTCCCACATGAGTGCAGGGGCCCAAGTTGGGTCATCTTCCACTGATTTCCTAGGCACATTAGCAGGGAGCTGGATCAGAAGTGGAGCATCCAGGACATAAACTGGTACCCATATGGGATTCTAGTGTCGCAAGTGGCAGCTTCACCCACGAAGCCACAACATCAGTCCCAATAGTAGGCTACTTTTTAAGATGAAAATTTTGTATGGCCCTCAAATGCTATAAATATCCAAATGGTCCTTGGCAGAAAAAGATTCCTCAACCCTGTAAAAACAGTTGGGCTAGTTTTGATTTTTTGTAATTATAAATAATTCTATGAAGATAATTACTGTAGCTGAATCTTTAAGGTCAAGCTTTAATGGAAATGCCTGCAAATGAAACCACTGAATCAAAGCGTATGTTTATTTTAAGGTTTCTAATACAAATTTCCAGAATAATTCCTAGTAAGATTTTCTCACCAGCCTTGTTGAAAAGTACCATTCTTGGCTGGTGCCGCGGCTCAATAGGCTAATCCTCCACCTAGCGGCGCCAGCACACCAGATTCTAGTCCCTGTCGGGGTGCCGGATTCTGTCTCGGTTGCCCCTCTTCCAGGCCAGCTCTCTGCTGTGGCCCAGGAAGGCAGTGGAGGATGGCCCAAGTGCTTGGGCCCTGCACCCGCATGGGAGACCAGGATAAGCACCTGGCTCCTGCCTTCGGATCAGCACGGTGCACTGGCCGCGGCGGCCATTGCGGGGTGAACCAACAGAAAAGGAAGACCTTTCTCTCTGTCTCTCTCTTACTGTCCACTCAAAAAAAAAAAAAAAAAAGTACCATTCTTTTTTTCCCATTTAAAAAAAAATCATGAAAAAAGTACAAAGAATGATACATACAAAGCATAGATTGGTTATATTTAATATTTGGTTAAATTGAGAGACACTTATAAAAACTGTATGGCTGCCGGCGCTGCGGCTCAATAGGCTAATCCTCCGCCTTGTGGCGCCGGCACACCAGGTTCTAGTCCCGCTCGGGGTGCCGGATTCTGTCCCGGTTGCCCCTCTTCCAGGCCAGCTCTCTGCTATGGCGTGGGAGTGCAGTGGAGGATGGCCCAAGTGCTTGGGCCCTGCACCCGCATGGGAGACCAGGAGAAGCACCTGGCTCCTGCCTTCGGATCAGCGCGGTGCGCCGGCCGCAGCATGCCAGCCGCGGCGGCCATTGGAGGATGAACCAATGGCGAAAGGAAGACCTTTCTCTCTGTCTCTCTCTCTCTCTCTCTCTCACTGTCCACTCTGCCTGTCAAAAAAAAACCAAACCAAAACAAAAAAAAAACTGTATGGCCCAGATTTGATTGACTTTCTCTAGAGTGAACCTGCTGAAATGAATGAGTCATCACATATTTATTGACTGCCTGGGTATGAAGACAAATTTAAATATTAATAACATCAGATTCTCAGCCTTTAAGGGGAAAGTTGATATAAGAATGTAACCTCATTAAAGATAGAATACCTTTATATGTCTTAAAAATATAAGTATGAATATAAATGTTCTTAGTTTTTCTTTACTTATAGCTATAGTTTTTTACATCTGAAAATATAGCAAGCAGTGTCAGGGAGATAGTACACAGTACACTAAGCACAATAGGTCTATGGCCAGTACTTAATCTTTCCTGTTCTGAGAAAATGTAGTTTATTAAGACTTAGAATAGTCAAGAAGGTTTTACTAGAGAAGAGGGGTTTGAGCCAAAGTCATATGACTTTTTGCTGTGAGAACTGTTTACATCGTACATAATTAATATCTGCTGTTTTTTCTTCTCCTAGATTTGGTATAAGAGGAAAGAAGTTACATTTTTCGTCTCCTTATGCTCATAAAGCATCTTCCATTGCCAAACCCCCTAGTGTGCATGCTTTGGAAAAAGAAGAGGAAGACTGTATAATCGCAGAGGGAATGATCGAGGAATATCTAGCATTTGACCACACAGATCCGTAAGTCTTATTCCTTTAAGATTTTTACTCCTCTCATTTTTTCTAAATCCTGTTACCAAAATAATAGACCTATGGCAGTTTCTGTTACTATTTTCTGTTATCCCAGAAATAGTTGTTTCTTCTACATACTAGGCCTTACATATTTCCTTCCTTCAAACATCATTTGCCACTTCCTGAGATGAGAGATTTTAAAATGAATTGATGTTTTTTCTCCACATAGTTTGATTCCATTCTTTTGCAAATCATCACCAGAGAAAACTCTCAACCTTTTTAATACAGCAATTGAGGAGGTATGAACTTGGTTTATATTAACCCTGTTTGAAAAATATATATACAGTTTATATAAAACAATGCTTGGCACAGACTATAATTAATAATGTTTATTTACGGCTGGTGCCGTGGCTCACTAGGCTAATCCTCCACCTTGCGGTGCCGGCACCCCAGGTTCTAGTCCCGGTCGGGGCGCCGCATTCTGTCCTGGTTGCCCCTCTTCCAGGCTAGCTCTCTGCTGTGGCCAGGGAGTGCAGTGGAGGATGGCCCAAGTGCTTGGGCCCTGCACCCCATGGGAGACCAGGATAAGTACCTGGCTCCTGCCATTGGATCGGCGCGGTGCACCAGCCGCAGCGCAGTGGCCATTGGAGGGTGAACCAACGGCAAAGGAAGACCTTTCTCTCTGTCTCTCTCTCTCTCACTATCCACTCTGCTTGTCAAAAATAATAATAATAAAAAAAATAATAATGTTTATTTACACCTATTTTTGCTGTATTCTGACAGTAGTCCTGTGACATAGATATTGTTTACCTTCTTTATAGGGTTGATGAGAATCAGCATAGTTAAATGATTTGTCTGAGGTAAAGCTAAAACCAAAACCTTATTTATCCAATTCTGAATTCAGTGCTCTTCCATGCTATCTTTCTGAAACATTAACCTCTTAAACTGTTCCTCCAAGCCTTTAAAAGTTCCAGAATTGGTAGTCATGTAGCACATCTGAAAGTGAGAATTTCATTTCAGGCGGTGAGGTTGTAGGACGGTCTAGTCAGTGTTGTCACATGATCCTGGACTTCTCTTCTTCCTGTATCATCTACTGGGCCATAGTCACACATGTGGTCACTCACATTTATGCAGCCCTCAAAGCAGCGAACCCAACCCACATTCCTAAATACAACACCATTGAGCTAGCTCCCTGTTAGGAGAGAATCCTCAGTAGATTCTTTTAGTTTTCCATAAACTGTAACTTTCTCCCTTAATTTCTTCTGACCCGTGTTAAATTCTTTGTGTCTTTTTACCTCAAGTCAGTGGTCTTCTCCCTTGTTATAAGTTTATAAAAAAATAAAGCTGATGCAACTAATTTAAATGTGATATAAATACCTAATAGGTATCCTCACAGCACCTCTTCATTTTTTTGATAATAAACCCAAATGAATTTTCAAGTAATATAGTGAAGAGTTTTAGAAAGGTAGCCTTCCTTTATAGAACACCTAAAGGAAATTAGTGTATATGAGGGTACTTCAAAAACTCATGGAGGGGTGCATTTGGCCTAGTGGGTAAGACACTGGTTAGGATGTCCATCTCCCACTATGGTGCACCTAGGCTCAGTTCCCAGCTCCAGCTCCTCATAATGCATACCCTGTGAAGCAGTGGTAATGGCTCAAGTAATTTGGTTCCTGTCACCCTTGTGAGAGACCTAGATTGAGTTGCAGGCCCAGCCCCAGCCTTTGCAAGTGCTTGGGAATTGGACTAGTGGATAGGAGTTTGCTCTCCATATATCTCTCTCTCTGTGTGTGTGCCTTGGGCCGTCTTCCACTACTTTCCCAGGTAATTGGATCAGAAGTAGCACAGGGGCTGGCACTGTGGCATAGCAAGTGCCGGCATTCCATATGGGCATTGGCTCAAGCCCGGCTACTCCACTGCTGATCCAGTTCTCTTCTATGGCCTGGGAAAGTAGTGGAAGATGGCTAAGTCCTTGGGCCCCCGCACCCACATGGGAGACCTGGAAGAAGCTCCTAGCTTCGGATCAGTGCAGCTCCAGCCATTGTGGCTATCTGGGGAGTGAACCAGTGGGTGGAAGACCTCTCTCTCTCTCTCTCTGCCTCTGTCTCTGCCTCTCTGTAAATTTTTCTTTCTTTCTTTCTTTCTTTTTTTTTTTTTTTTTTTGACAGGCAGAGTGGACAGTGAGAGAGAGAGACAGACAGAGAGAAAGGTCTTCCTTTTGCCGTTGGTTCACCCTCCAATGGCCGCCGTGGCCGGCGCACCGCTGATCCGAAGGCAAGAGCCTGGTGTTTCTCCTGGTCTCCCATGCGGGTGCAGGGCCCAAGGACTTGGGCCATCCTCCACTGCACTCCCACGCCATAGCAGAGAGCTGGCCTGGAAGAAGGGCAACCAGGACAGAATCCGGCACCCCGAGCAGGACTAGAACCCGGTGTGCCAGCGCCGCAAGGTGGAGGATTAGCCTATTGAGCCACTGCGCCAGCCATGTAACTCTTTCAAATAAATAAATAAGGCCGTGCGTGGCTCAATAGGCTAATCCTCTGCTTGTGGCGCCAGCACACCAGGTTCTAGTCCCGGTCGGGGTGCCAGATTCTGTCCTGGTTGCCCCTCTTCCAGGCCAGCTCTCTGCTGTGGCCAGGGAGTGCAGTGGAGGATGGCCCAAGTCCTTGGGCCCTGCACCTGCATGGGAGACCAGGAGAAGCACCTGGCTCCTGCCTTTGGATCAGCGCGGTGCGTCGGCTGCAACGCGCCGACCGCGGCGGCCATTGCGGGGTGAACCAATGGCAAAAGGAAGACCTTCTCTCTCTCTCTCTCTCACTGTCTACTCTGCCTGTCAAAAAAAAAAAAAAAAAAAAAATCTTAAGGAAGAAGAAGAAGAAGTAGAGCAGCCAGAACTTGAACTGGCCCCCATATTGGATACCACCATTGCAGACTGCGGTTTAACCTGCTGTGCCACGCCAGCCCCGCCTATTTAATTCTTGAGACCTCTGCTTCCCTAGGTGTAACTTTCACTGAAAAGGCCTGGAGATATTTTTCCCTGTCCCAAGCAAGTACCAGAATTTTCTGTGTCTTGGTTTATAATAAGTCTCTTATAGGCTGATTGCTTTCCAGTAGAATCCTGGGGCTGTTGGTGCTTCCTGCTAGAGAAGCAGAGAAGGATTTGGTTCCTGTGTTATAGACACCAGGGCATCCTGAAGAGCCACAGAGAAGCTTCAGTGCTATTTAGCTCCTTTTCTTTTGAGAGTATTGGGGTAGGGTGGGAGTCAAAAAGGAAATGCAGTCTGTTGAGAACTCTATTGGTTCCTGAGGCAGCCTGATACCTGTGCTACAGCTGCTGGGCAAGGAGAAGGCCAAGGTTGATGGGGGCCCAGCCACAGTACTACTAAGGAGCACAGAGGGCCATGGCAGACACCAGTGAAGACTACTCATGCAGTCTTTCCCTCTCACTTCTGTTACAGGGAAGAGGAATTGCATGGAAAGAAATCAGAAGCAGCTACAGAGAAACAGAAGTTAGGGTACCCTCCCATTGCTCCATTTTACTGCATGAAGGAGGATGTCCTGGCTTATGTGTTTGACAACGTGTGGAGCAAGGTTGTCGGCTGTGTGGAGCAGTTGATACGTACTCACTGGGAGGGATTTACTTCTGGTAAGGATCTTTGTGAAAACAATGAAAAAAAAAAAAGGTTGTTTCTGATTTCCAAACCTAAGCAGCCTACTAGATTATCTATTGCACGAGTAAACCAGAGTGTTTTCCTGCTCTCATAACACACTTCCGACTCCAGATCTGTATGGGGTTTTCCCTACATACCAAGCAATTCTGTTACCAGATTCTCCAGCTAACACCAGCTGGGGACCCTGTGGTTCACTTCATTTCTGTCACTACCTGGATGTAGCGTCCAGTCCTACAGATTAAGGAGTTAGTTCCACAAGGTTGCCCACACTTCAGATGTCAGTTGCTAGCACCAGTTTGTGACCTGTGCTTCTGACCAATGACTATAAATCAAGGTTCCCATGACCCCCTCCTTAGCTTCGATTAATTCAGTAAGAGTTCACAGAACTCAGGGAAAACACTTACGTTTCTTGACCAGCTTATTATAAAGGATTTTACAAAGTGTATGAGTGAATAGCCAGATTGAAGAGATGCACATGCAAGGTGCGGGAGAAAGGAGTGTGGAGCTTCCAAGGCCTCTCTGCATACACCACCCTCTATGCCTCGCATGTGTTCAGCTCTCCGGAAGCTCTTGGAAGCCATTGCTTTTGGGTTTTTATGGAGGCTTTTATGCAGGCCTGGTTAATTAAATCATTGGCCATCAGTGATCACTCGAACCTTTAGTCCTTTCCCTTTCCAAGGGAGTGAATTGGGCCAAAATTTCTTATCTTCTAATCACATGGTTGGTTCCCCTAACAATCAGCCCCCATCCTGAGACTGTTCAGAGCCCCCAGCCACCTGTCATGTCATTAGCATACAAAAGACATAATTTTGGAGATTCCAAGGGTTTTAGGAGCTATATGGCAAGAACCAGGGAAGAGACCAAATGTATATTTATTATTTATATCACAGTGTATATTATGATATAATGTTTATATTTTCCAAACTAACTGGTATTTAATAAATGTATAAGAATATATGGATAAATAACAAGGCCTGGCCTATGGTGACCACACAGACCTTGTGCTTTCTCTTTGAATGTGATTTGTAAGGAAGAACCATGTACAAATAGCATATACATTTTTAACTGCTTTATCAAAGAAAAATTGACATTGCAGAAGCTGCACAAATTTAAAGTGTATAATTTGATAAATTCTGACCTACTTATTCCTCCGTGAAGCCATCATCCCAGTCTATATAGTAACCATATCCATCACCCCTAAAAGTTCATGCCCTTTGTAATTCCTCCCTTCCACCCCTCCCCAGCCCCCATTCCCAAGTGATCATTATACTGAGTGAAAGATGTCTGACAAGAAGCGTAATCTGTAGGGCTGACGCTATGGTGCAGCAGGTAAAGCTGCCGCCTGCAGTGCCGGTTCAAGTCCTGGCTGCTCTACTTCCCATCCAGCTCTATGCTATGTCCTGGGAAAGCAGTAGAAGATGGCCAAGTCCTAGGCCCTTACACCTATGTGGGAGACCCGGAAGAAGCTCCTGGCTTCTGATCAGCCTAATTCCAGCCGTTGCAGCCATTTGAGGAGTGAACCAGCAGGTGGAAGACCTCTCTGTCTGTCTGTCTCTCTCTGCCTCTGCCTCTCTGTAACTCTTTCAAATAAATAAATAAATCTTAAAAAAAAAAAAAAAAAAAAACAGTCATCTACCTCCTGTCACTACAGGTTAGTTTGCCTTTTGTAAAGTTTCAATGTGAATGCAGTGGTATGATATGGACTTTTTTAGTCTTATTTTTTTGACTCAGCATAGTGATCTTGAGGTTCTCCATATATCAATAATTTATTCCCTTTTTTGCCAAGTAGTATTTTAGTATAGCAGAATTTGTTTATCTTTTCATCTACTGATGGGCATTTGGATTGTTTTCAGCTTTGGGCTATTCCATGTAAAGCTGTTATGAACACTAATGTATAAAAATTTGGGGGCATACATTTCTTTTTCTCTTGAATAAAATCGTAGTCATTACATAGTTATATATATTTAACTTGTTAAGAATTGATTTATAGGTTTTTCTGTGCTACTCAACAAATTGTCATAAACTTAGTGGCTTCAAACAACACAGATTTATTATCTCACACATTGGTGATTCAGAAGTCCAGAAACAATTTAGCTAGTTCCCTGCTCTGGGTTTTCTTAAAAGGCTCTGTGATCAAGGTGTTGGCAAGTACTGGGTTCTCATGTCGAGGCTTGATGAAGGATCCATTCCCCCTTTTTTTATGTTTTGGGAAAAATACAGAGAGCCAGTGAACCAGCAAGACCAAAGCTTATATATAACAGGATTGTGGAGATGGTATCCCATCACCGTTTCCATTATCTATTTTTTTTTTTTTTTTTTTTGAAAGGCAGAATGGACAGTGAGAGAAGAGAGACAGAGAGAAAAGTCTTCCTTTACCGTTGGTTCACCCTCCAATGGCTGCTGTGGCCGGCGCGTTGCGGCCAGCGCACCACACTGATCCGAAGCCAGAAGCCAGGTGCTTCTCCTGGTCTCCCATGCGGGTGCAGGGCCCAAGCACTTGGGCCATCCTCCACTGCCTTCCCGGGCCACAGCAGAGAGCTGGCCTGGAAGAGGGGCAACCAGGACAGAATCCAGCGCCCTGACAGGGTCTAGAACCCGGGGTGCGGGCGCCACAAGGCGGAGGATTAGCCTATTGAGCCGCGGCGCGGGCCTCCATTATCTATTGGTCTGAAGCCAGTCACAAGTCCTGCCCATCCTTTAAGTGGAGAGGAATGCACCGAGACAGGAACATCAGGTAGTGGGCATCATGCAGGGACTACCTGAGAGTCTATCTGCCACAGCTCACCCTCTGCCCCAGTGATTCACCTCCTCCCACATGCAAAATACATTTATGTCCCTCACAAGGCTTGCAAGAGTCCCAGCCTGTTATAGTATCACCTCAGAAGTCCAAAATCTTATCATCTAAATCAAGTCCTGGTGTGGCAGATGCTCCTGGATATGATCAATGTATATGGCTCCTGGGACACAATTCCCCTCCATCTTTAGACCCATGAAACTAAAGAGAAGTTATCTGACCCTAACACACCCAACATACAATAGTGGGACAGGAGAGGTGGGGTAGGACCCATAGCAATTGTGAAATCCGAGTGTGTATTGGGAGTTCCTTCAATAAGTTTCAAGGCCTGGGAATAATCCTCAGCAGCTCTCTGCCCAGTCCTCTATTCTCTTCAGTCATGTGTTTGCAGCTAAGTAATTTCACCATGCTGCTTCTTGCCACTAGAATCTTGGTCTAATAGCCTTCTTTCATTTGTAATCCTTTTGTCCCTTTAGTCCAAGTCAGCTGTATTTCTGCTGAGATAAATTTCTCAAGAACCTTGTGGTTCTCGCATGGATATCAGTGAGGTTCACCATGTTAGATAGATACATATATACTGGATATGTAAGAGTGGAATTGCTAGGTCACAGAATATGCTATTTCTAATTTCAACAGATACTGCCAGGAAATTTTCCAAAATGCTTCTACCTATTATACTTTCTCTGGTATTGAGTTGGTATCCAGTTGCTCCACATTTGCCACACTTGATATTGCCTATGAGTTTCTGTGAGGAGCAACTCGGACTAGACTAAGTTACTGGAATTAAGACTTATTCTGTGCATCTGCTCTCCCACAATATGGCGCTGGGAGAGGAGTAAACAACTTCTACACAGCTGCCTCCAGTTCGACCAATAACCTGCAGGAGCTGATCCTGCTCCTGATTGGAGGAGAGCAGCGTACTCGGCGTGTGGGTAGCAGAGTTGGGATTGGTGGAAGAGGACTATAAAGGAGGAGAGAGACAACATGCACCAGGAACATCTAAGAGGAACATCTGGATAACATCTGAGCAGCCCCCGAGAGAGACCGCTCCCCCTCGGAAGTGGGGAAAGTGGCAGGGGGAACCGCCCTTCCACGGAGGTGGAAGGATCGGCAGCCAACCCGGGAAGGACCAGCAGCAAACCCGGGAAGGGCCGAGCAGACAAAAGAACAGCGCAGGGTCCTGTGTCGTTCCTCCACGAAGAGGGGGAGCAACAGTTTCTTTTTTTCTAATTTTAAGCCACTATTATATAATTGTTAAGTTCTGTTTTAAAGCTGTATTCAAGAATAGACTAACATTCTCTTTGGAAATGAACTAGTTTGTGGGCAAGCATTTGGCTCATCAGTTAAGATGCCACATTCCCTACAGAATGCCTACATTTGAGTCATTGCACCATTTCCCATCTGGCTTTTTGCTAATGTGCACCTTGAGAGGCAGCTGGTGATAACTCAGGTTCTTGGTTCCTGATACCCTCATTGGAAACCAGGATGGAGTTCCAGGTTCCTGACTTTAGCCTGGCCCAGTCCTGGCTGTTGCAGGCTTTTGGGGAGTAAATTAGTAGATGAAAAATCTCTGTCTCCATTTCACTGTCTCTCTCTCTCTCTCCCTCCTTGTTGCTTTCATTCTTTTTTTTTTTTTTTAAGATTTATTTATTATTTTGAGAGGTGGAGGGTGGGGAGAGATCATCCATCTACTGGTTTATTCCCCAAATGGCTCCTACAGCTGGGGTTGGGCTAGGTGGAAGCCAAGAGCCTGGAACTCCATCTGGGTCTCCCACATGGTGGCAGGGGCCCAAGTACTTGGGCCATCTTCTGCTTCTGATTCAGGAAACTGATTCAGAACTGGAGCAGCAAGGGCTTAAACTGGTGCCCACTTGGAATATCATCACAGGTAATGGCTTAACCTGCTGCGCCACAGTACAGGCCTGTCTGCCTTTCAAATAAATAAAATGACAAATTGTTTTAAGTTAAAAAATGATCTGGTTTGTATTACATGAGGTTGTTTGTAAAAATTAGTTATTTATTTCATTTGAAACAGAAACAGATAAGATATCTAATTGCTGGTTCACTCCCCAAATGCCTGTAACAGCTGGTAATGGGCCAGGCCAAAGCTGAGAGCTTGGAACTCAATCCAGGTCTCCCACATGGGTAGCAGGAACCCAACTACTGCAGGCATCACCTTCTGCCTCCTAGGGAGCACATTAGCTTGGAAGCTTGAATTGAGAGCAGAGCTAGGACTTGAACTTTGTCACTCCCATATGGAATGTGGGCAGACCTTAGACCTTAGTCAACTTATTGTGTCTTAACTCCTAAGCCAAATGCCTGACCCGGGGTTGTTTTGGAGATGCAAGGCAAATGATAAAATCCAAAGTCAAATCCAATCTCTTGTAATAACAAATCCTAGAAATAATGGAACTCCTGGGGCTAGAGTGGTGCAGTGGGTTAAGTGTCTGCATCCCATATGAGTGCTAGTTTGAATTCCAGCTGCTTCCCTTCTGATCCAGCTCCCTGCTAATTCACCTTGGAAAGCAGCAGAAGATGGCCTGAGTACTTGGACTCCTGTGACGCACATTAGAGATCCCAAAGGAGTTTCAAGCTCCTGGCTTCGGCCTGGCCCAGCCCCTGCTGTTGCAGCCATTTGAAGAGTGAACCAGTAGATGGAAGATCTGATCTATCTATGTTTCTCCCCTCCCCGGCCCACTCTATAACTCTTTTCAAATAAATAAATAAAATTTTTAAAGGAAGTCCTTCAGTTTTCAGTATCAACCACTGAGATATCAGAGAAAATGTCAGTTATTTGCAATTTACCAATTTGGGCAATGAATTAATGTCCTTTGAGTTTATCTCTACATCTATAATCTTAGGTTATTTCATTGTATTCTGGTTAATAATTTGAGACTTAGAATCTAAAACAATAAAAGACACTGATCTTGAAATGGAGCTGGAGGGACTCTTACTGGTTTAGTGGTTGATTAAAATACCCTAAAATACATGTTGTCATTAAATTCATTTCTAGAAAAAAAAATACCCTAAAATACAGACTAGCAAACTTTGTCTATACAGAGCCAGGTGGTAAATGTTTGTCTTTGCTAGCCATTCAGTCTCCGCAACCACTTAGCTCCACCCTTTTATCATGAATGCAGCTGTAAGTAAGATTGAAGTGAATAGGCATGGCTGTGTGTACAGTTGTGTTCAATAAATTCACCAGAAGACATAGGCAGTAATGTTTCTAACAGCTGTAAGTGGAAAACATAAATTGAAAACTATCAAGCTATCTTTCAGTAATAGCACGTGATATATTCATACAGTGGAATACTGTACAGTAACAAGAACAAACTACTGTTAAAACTTTATTTACAGGCCAGCGCTGCGGCTCAATAGGCTAATCCTCCGCCTTATGGCGCCGGCACACCGGATTCTAGTCCCGGTAGGGGCACTGGATTCTGTCCCAGTTGCCCCTCTTCCAGGCCAGCTCTCTGCTGTGGCCCAGGAGTGCAGTGGAGGATGGCCCAGGTCCTTGGGCCCTGTACCCACATGGGAGACCAGGAGAAGCACCTGGCTTCTGGCTTCAGATCAGCGTGGTGCGCCAGCCACAGTGCGCCGGCCACAGCGGCCATTGGAGGGTGAACCAACGGTAAAAGGAAGACCTTTCTCTCTGTCTCTCTCTCTCTCTCACTGTCCACTCTGCCTGTCAAAAATTTAAAAAATAAAAACTTTATTTACAAAAACAGATAGCAGTAATGGGTATGGGATTTCTCTTTGGAATAATGAAAAATTCCTGGAACTAGATAGCATTAATATTTGGACAATATCACAAATGTTATTAATAGTACTAAATTTTAAGCTTTAAAATGGTAAACTTTATGTTTTGTATATTTTACCACAATAAATAAATTTTAAAGAAAAGGTAGCAGGCCAGATTTGGCCCAGGAACCAAATCTAAAATGTTATCCTTATGAGAAGCAGTGTAGTATAACAGTTAAAAGCAGACTATATTACCAGACATGCTAAGTTTGATAACTGACTCTCACACTATCTCTAGATCCTTAGCAAACTGCTTAAATCCTCTTTACCTCAGTTTCTTTATGAAATAAGTATAATCCTAATGTCTATCTCATAGGGTTGTACAAGAAATAAATGAATTATATTAAAGTGCACAAGCAGTTTCTGAAGTATGTAAGAGCTTGATAAATATTATCTATTATTATTACCGAGAAGTAAGAAAATACAACTGTTGTATTTTAGGCTTTGTTGTGGACCAGTTGGCTGTTTATTGTTTATTGTTAGAGGCAACTTTCAGGTGCTGGTATAAACCTATCCCTACTGCTAGAGCAACTTTCTATATTCCTCTATGAGAAAGAAAGCCAACTACATGCTAGTCATATGCAATAGAACCATATAACAACTTGTCATTTTTTTCAAGATCTGTTTATTTTTGAAAGAGTTACAGAGATAAATATTTTCCATCTGCTGGTTCACACCCCAGATGGCTGCAACAGCCAGCGCTGGGGCAGGCCAAAGCCATGACAGGAGCTTCTTCTGGATCTTTCACATGGATAGCAGGTGCCCAGGCACTTGGGCCATCAGCAGGATGCTGGATCAGAAGTGGAGCAGCTGAGTCCTGAACTGGCAGCCATATAGGATGCCGGTGTCTCAGGCAGTAGCTATACCTGCTACAGCACAACACCAACCCCAACAACATGTCATATTTTTAGGTTGGTTTGTAAACTATCATCCAAATGTATATAAAACTCTGAATGAAATAATAATTTTTATAACTTTTTATGATGACTTTAACTTTAATCAAGACAGCTTTAAATGATCAAAGAAAAGCATTTATTAATTTTTCATTATTATCACTACTATTGTTTTTAACCCAAATTTGCTAGTAGGGAAAGACCCTTCAATGGACATTTCTATGGAAAAGATACACCTGCTCTGAATGAAAACAATGGTAGTAAACCAAATAATGATGAAAGTGGTTTAGAAACAATGAAGGCCAAAGGAGTTCATGTTAGTTTTACTCAGAAACTCATCTTGGTTTTAGTTTTGTAGTCATAATTGATGGTGAGTGGCAAAATCCCTGTATGTTTTAAATCCTAAAATGCAGTGTTTTACCATTAGGACCAATGATACTGTGAACATTCTTGAACATTTCTCCTGGTACTTGTGTGCACAAGGACCTAGGGTATGTACCAATAAGTGAGACTGGTGGGTCATAGGGCATGTGCCTCTTCAACTTTACTAGGTAACAGCTTATCCGAAGCAGCTGTACTACTTTATATGCTCACTAGCAGTACACAGGTTCCTCTGCAGACTCCTCAGTGCTTACTGTTCTTAATTTGTAGTTTGAGTGTATAAATGCTTTTTATTGTGGTTTTATGTCTTTACTTTTTAAAAAAGCATGTAATTTACATATAAAATTCACCATTTTTAGTGTTCAGATTTTCCATCTCCTTGTATTTATTACAGATCCTTTTTTTGTTTTTGGTTGTTGTCCACTATTTCTGTTATCCTTCTGAGTTTATAATTTTAGTAATTTTTGTTCCTTTTGTAGTTTTATTTTGTTGCTTTTCAAATCTGCCTACTTATTTTTACAATGTTTTTCTCTTATTCATATTTTCATCTGCTTTTGTTTCACATTCTTAATTTGTTAATGCCAGTTTTTGAAGTCTTTGATAATCTGATTGTCTCTGCATGCTCTTTTTCAAGATGCCTTGTGGACTATATGATTTAATAGTGACTGCTAATCATGTAACTTTACCTGTGAGAACTGAGCTCTGGATCAATGATCTGAAGGTTCATTTGGAGCTACATTGTGTAATAGAGCAGTCGCCAGTGTGGCTATTTAATTATAATTAAATAAAATTTAAAATTCGGTTCCTCACACTGGCTACATTTTAAGCACTCTGTAGCTGCGTGTGTTTCCTGGCCACCACACAGGACAGCACAGGTGTAAGACACTTCCATCAACCCCCATGGTTCTGTTCACAACTTTACTTAGGTCTCTGCTTTTCCTCTGCCAGGGAACAGAAGGCCTCACCAGCCTGGGAAAACCACTTTAACTCAACTCTTGGTTTTAGTTTTTTGGAACCATACAGGTGGTATGTTAAATCATGCTGCAAAAGACAAAGGAAGCCTTGCTTGAGATTAAGAATTCTCCGAGTTTCCTGTGCACCCCCCACCCCGCACTGTGCTATGAGTCAAAAGATATCCATGGATGACAGATTCTGTTCCTTTGCTCAGATGACGACAGTAATGTTGCAGTCACCAGACTGGACTCTGAAAGCCCCTGTGTGCTGAGTGAACCACAGCCTTTGGTGTTACCTCGCGTGCCACAGTCTAAGGTGCTGTCTATCACCTCAAATCCGGTAAGCCCCAAAGGGGAACACATTTTGGAACCTAGGCTGTTGTTGCCAGAGGAAAGTTGCTCAGTTGTTTGCCTTAATTTTATTCCCTTATGACTTAGTATTTTTTGGTACACTTACATAGTGGTAATCCAATGACTCTACATTGATTAGTTTCAGTTTAAAAAATAGCGCATTGGCGTTGAAAATCCTCAGTGTTTTTGAAGAAGCATCTGTAAACTTACTTGTGCAATCTAGAATTAAGTATGTGCTCAGCCTAAGTCTGTTTTGGAAAGAATGGAAGATCTTTTCATGATGAAAAAAGGAACTAATCTCTGATTCTATGTACCTTTGAACTCCTTTTTGATTCCTTCCCTCTTTTTCCTTTTAACTACCCTATTTTTGAAAATTCATTTATTATTATTATTTTTTAAATTCATTTGAGAGCAAATGAGCTCCTGTCTGGCTCATTCCCCAAATGCCTTCAATAGTTGGAGCTGGGCCATGCCAAAGCTGGGATTCCTATGAACTCAATCCAGGTCTCCCACGTGGATGGCAGGAACCCAACTACCTGAGCCACCACTGCTATTTCTCAGGGTCCACATAAGCGGGAAGCTGGAACCAGTAATCAGAAGTGCGCTTTGGACCCAGGCACCCTGATGTGGGATGTGTTAACCATGTTAACCAGAATCTTAACCACTAAGTCAAATGCCCAACCATTTTTGTTGGTTTAATATTTGAATCTTTTGACTAGTTTACCTTATGAATGTTTATCTTGTAACTCAGGTGTAAAAGGCAAATCAAAGGGAAGAGAAAACCTATCTCAAGTAAGTCTGCAAACAAGCACAAAGATGGCCTCTTGTTTTGTTTTTTTCCAGAAGGCTAATGATCTTGGTCTCATCCCTGTGTAATGAATTATGTAGTCCCAGTTCCTGTGTGATAGTTTCCTAGTATTACTTATGGGGCGGAGGGTGGGGGTGGGGTTAGAGGAGAAGGATTCTAATCGTTGGGCCATATTCACTGGTCCTGGATTTTACTAGCCAAGTTATAATATTTGTTGGTATACTAGCCAGATATATAGTGCAGCTGGATTTATAAAAGGGTTACTTAAAATATTTACAAAAGTGCTATTTAAAAACAGAATCAAGTTCCTGGCTGCTCTTGGCTCGACTCTGACCATTACAGGCATTTGGTGAACAAACAAGTGGATCCTTTTTCTCAAATACATATACATTTTTGGAGATTAGCAAGGCTCATAACTCTGAATCAGGGGATGAGCCACTAAACTACCATTACTTTGGATCAAGCACTTCACATAATAAACTGGTCTGGCTGTGGTTTAGAAAGCATAAGCCCTGAATCGTTAATTCGATGGATCTGGTTGTTAATCACCAAAGGAAGGAGAAGGTTAATTCAAATATTCTTGAAAGAAGGAAATAAATAAATTCTGTGCAGAGGATGAGATGGCTGGAAATGGCACTGTACTGATGACCTGAGAAAGAAAACAAGTGGAGCTTCAGTGTAGCAGTTCCAGTCCAAATAAGACCAAATCCTACTAGCATTAGAATAAATAAGATTAACTCCTGACATATAGACTACAGGACTTAGGTTATCATTTGATGACAGCTGACTACTCCAGGGATGGTGAGAGAAAGGATTAGTTTGTACAGACCAGGATTATGTGATGATGAAAGGGTTGGAATTCATCTCTCTTTCTTTTATTGCTCCATATTTCATTTCTATTATAATGTAAATAATAATAAAGGTCTCCTCTAACTTTAAGAGTGACTGCTAATTGCTTTCATCTGGGTTAATCAGGCTTCCCCTACCTGCTGTCATTTAGAAATGGAAAGAACCTAGTGATTCTGAGAGGGGTTCAGGGCCCCAGCTATGGCTATTGGCCAAAATGTTACAAAAGGCACAGGGAAAATGTCAAAGTCCCTTAATTGAAAATGTTAACTTTTGCCAAAATTGGGAAGCCAAGCAGGTATCTTCACCAACTAATAATAAGTAAAATCTTCTTTTGACATGTAGATGAGTCTCTGTCAAGCAAGTGGTCATCAGCCAAATGTGAATGGTCTCTTGGTTCATGGAATGCCTCTACAGCCAAGAAATCTCTCCCTAATGGACAAGCTCCTGTAAGAAGTATAACCTTTGCATTGACTCTATTTAAGTAGAACTCTAAGAAATAAAGGTAAAGCAAAGTAACTAGCATGCGTGCGTGTATTGGCTATCTGCTAAGCAACTAGATATACCTGGGGAGTAAAACAACCCAGGGCAAGGTCTATACCAACAGGAAGCTGATAATAACTAGAAAGAAATTACATACTTGAGTAAAAAGAGACCTAACCATATAGGGCATCTGTGTGACTGAATGCCAAGTGAGTGCTCTGGCAGCCCCAAAGGGAGGCATTTTTGTGGGTAATCCTTGAAAGATGAGGGTTGGGATAATCATCATAGAAGAGGAGCAAGGCCATTCCAGGTGGAGGAATGCTGAGGGAAAAAGTTGAGAGATGGAAAAATATAAACTTTTTAGGCAAGAGAACAGATCTTTTTTGTTGTGGTAGAACAGGGAGATAGGTCAGAACTTTAATGCTACTCATCAAAGAACACTGATAATTTCTACAATTAAAACAGACCATGGGGCCGGCGCCGCAGCTCACTAGACTAATCCTCCACCTGTGGCGCCGGCACCCCAGGTTCTAGTCCCGGTTGGGGCGCCAGATTCTGTCCCGGTTGCTCCTCTTCCAGTCCAGCTCTCTGCTGTGGCCCAGGAAGGCAGTGGAGGATGGCCCAAGTGCTTGGGCCCTGCACCGGCATGGGAGACCAGGAGGAAGCACCTGGCTCCTGGCTTCAGATCAGCGCAGCACCGGCCATAGCAGCCATTTGGGGGGTGAACCAATGGAAAAAGGAAGACCTTTCTCTCTGTCTCTCTCTCACTGTCTAACTCTGCCTGTCAAAAAACAAACAAACAAACAAACAAACCAGACCATGATAAGATTAGCAGGGAAGAAGAGGCTATTGAAACTAGTGCCTGTTGGTATCAGGAGGGTTTTGAATGCTGTTGCCTATGACCTCTATTGCTGAGTAGTACTCCACTGTAGGAATACATCACAATTTAACTATCTACTCTCCTATTACTTAACACGAGTTGATTCCAGGTTGGGGCTATTATACATAAAGGCACTATGGATATTTTTGCATAGGCCTTTTCTGTGTGTATGGTCTCATTTCTTCTAGTCAATACTAGAAATGACAGGACCATAGGACAAGTTATCTTGAATTTTGTAAGAAACTGCCATACAACTTCCCATACTTTTAAATCAGAACTTTGAAAGATTTCACAGTCTTAGGACAGTGGAGCAGGAAAAACTGAAGGTGCAGTCTGATGTAGGAGTTCAGGTATGAGCTGAGCTGCTAAGGGTCTGCATTCAAGCTGTAGCAAAGAATACGGAAGGAATTTACTATGTGAGGAAATACTGTAAAGGAAATGAAATTCCATCAAAACAGGGGAATCCAAGTTAATTCTGAAATTTCAAGCTTAAGGGAAGGTTGTCTTGCAGGAAAACATGAGTTTCTTTTGGAGTGTATTGAGTTTACAATGAGGAGGAGGTCTCATTGGAAATATGGAAGAAATCAAATTTGGAGACTGATCTAAAAGCCAGCTGGCTGGAGAATTATGAATGAGGAGTTCACAACAAAATAATGATGAACGTGGGGTTGCTAAAACCTTTTACAATTAAAATGCAGTTAGGGCATGTTAAAAAAAAATTAAATGAATGGATAGGGAGATAGGAAGCAATTCTCAAGGCTTAGTCCTCTTCCTTTATGGGTATTTTCCCTTTAAAGTTCTCCAAACTGTGGCATGTTTTCCATGAGAGTGCACCAAAGTGGTCTTCTCATGCAAAGATCCAGGAACTTGCTGAAAGCCATACAGCCAAGTAGCAGAGATCAGCTTTTGTCTGTTTCTATTTGTTTCATTATACAAATACTATCTTTTAGCAGATCTTAGAATAGCCAGATGTCTTCTCTGGTTTAAAAAGCAAAAGCAAAGAAAACCCCAGAATCCTGGCATGGTAATTTTTTTTTTTTGGACAGGCAGAGTGGACAGTGAGAGAGAGACAGAGAGAAAGGTCTTCCTTTTGCAGTTGGTTCACCCTCCAGTGGCCGCTGCGGCTGGTGCACTGCGGCCGGCGCACCGCGCTGATCCGAAGGCAGGAGCCAGGTGCTTCTCCTGGTCTCCCATGCCGGGTGCAGGGCCCAAGCACTTGGGCCATCCTCCACTGCACTCCCTGGCCACAGCAGAGAGCTGGCCTGGAAGAGGGGCAACCGGGACAGAATCCGGCGCCCTGACCAGGACTAGAACCCAGTGTGCCGGCGCCGCTAGGTGGAGGATTAGCCTAGTGAGCCGTGGCGCAGGCTGGCATGGTAATTTATTTGTCAGAAGGCTTACAGAAATATTATCTTTCATAGCTGTTTATGCAAATAGGGATCTGTGTTCCCACTGCCTTGGGCAGCACACTTTGCTGGCTCCCAGCTTTCCAAAGAACCCACACTTGAATCCTTATCCCTGTAGGCTGCAAATGACTCAGCACGTTAACTTCTGCAGTATGAGTCACACAGTGCCACGGCTGCTCCCAAGCTGCACTATTGACCATGCAGTTGTCTTTCTGGTGGCATTCCTTCAGCAGAGAATGTTGCAGATACAGCAGGACGCAACCTTTGTGGCAAACTTTGTAAAGTACTTTGGAGAAGGTATCCTTTGGGTTTGTCTTTGCCAGTGACTGAACAAGTGACTGCGATAGCAAGTGAATAATGGACTTGCTGTCCCAATCTCCAGCCTAGTAAATTGTTAGTAATTGAAGTAATATCTTCTTTTTCTAAAGTTTCATGCTTGAGTGTCTCCTAGAAACTAGGTTACTTCCTGAAAGGGCTTTGTCTTTTTTCTCGTTTTTCTTCTGACTGCAGTTAATAGTCTAAAGCTTTTCACGCTGTGAGTCTTACCTTCCTGTAGAGAGTGACCTTTATTTTATTGTGGGTTTCTGATTTGGCCCCTAGAGATCTTGATGACAAGCTACTTATGAGGCCTGGGTCCAGCACCATCCTTTCATTCCGAAATTGGCCAAATCGATCCACGGAGCTCCTCACTGCATCGTATCTGTCCTACACAGTGCAGTCCGCCAGGAGACGTAATCCCCCGCCACGTACTCTTCATCCCATCAGCACAAGCCATTCATGCACTGGGACTCCAAAACCTGCAGAAGAAATCTTCAGAGGATCCTGGGTGTAGGTTTCAAATGCAAAATTTCAGGAAACTGGTAAAACTAAACAATTTAACACAAAGAATTTAAGTGTAAGATTGAAATTGATACCTAGAAACTAATCTTTCAGTATTCTCTTGAATCTTAGTATTTACTTTATTTGAAAGAGCTTTTCCATCTGCTGGTTCACCCCTCAAATGTCTGCAACAGCTGGTGCTGGGCCAGTCTGAACCCAGGAGCATCAAACTCAATCCAGCTCTCCCACATGGGTGGCAGGGACCCAGCTACTTGAGCCATCACCAGCTGCCTCCCAGGGTGCTCATCTGTAGGAAGCCAGACTGGTGGGGGAGCCAGAACTTGACCTCAGGCACTCTGATATGGGATGTGAGCATACAAAGCAGCATCTTAATCACTGTGCCAAACCCCCACCCCAGTTACTACGTATCCTAATGAAAGATTATCCATTGGTTAAAAACAATAGAGCTTTTAAATTGGGTTTAATTTTAATGAACTACAGATATTTCTGTTTAGTTGAAAATTTCTAAAAAAAGTTGGCTAGAACACAATAGGATTTACAAAAAGAATAATGTGTTTGTGCGTATTAATTATTACCCTCACCAAAATTCATCCCAAAATTCTCCTCCAAGCTTTTCTCTGACTTTGGGATCTGTTTATTCTGTATTCTACTGACAATTAAAACTTCATAAGCCTCAGATGAATTGCTTATAGAAGGAAAAATATCCATTAATACTTCTTAGGAAAAATACTAAAATGTTTTTTTCCAGCCTTCACTAAATGCTCAGCTTTACTGTCCACAATACCATCTAGAAGCCAGTTTTTAAGTAGAAATTTTTATTAGTTAATTCACAGAATAGATGGTTGATTTCTAAGACTATAACCAAGGGTGTGGCGATAGTGACACAACTGTGTTCTGAATTCAGCTCCTAAGTTAAACATGTGTTACTCTACTTCCTCCCTAGAGTGTTATTTTACAAAAAAAGAAAAAAAAAAACAACAAACAAAAAAACAAAAACAAAAAACAAAAAAGAAAGGATTTGAAAAGCAGAGTGAAAGAGAGAGAAAGGGAAAGCTCTTCTGCTGCTGCTGCTGGTTCCTTCCCTAAATGGCCAAAATGGCCAGAGCTGGTCTGAGCTGAAGCCGGGAGCCCAGAACTCCACCTGAATCTCCCACATGGGTGGCAAAGGCCCCATCCTCTGCTGTCTTTCCAGGCACATTAGCTGGGAGCTGCATTGGAAACAGGGCAGCCAAAAGCCAACTGGCACTGGGGATATGGGATGCAGGCATTGCAAGCTGTGGCTTAACCCACTGCACCACAAGGCCAGCCAGTTATTTCTTAATTTTGGTTTTTCAACTTCTTGTTACAATTTATTCCAACAGGCTTAGCGAAAATGATGTAGAAAACCACCACCAACCTCTCTCAGGCCATCAGTGTTCTCCTTACCTGCTTAACTATTTCAAAGTATGGATATATCTGTATCTAAGCTGAGCTACAGATTCATTCATTTGGGGATGAGTGGCCTTGATTTAATTACTCTCTTATCCTCTCTGATAATACTTTGTTTTCAAAGTTGAAACATAAGTTTTGTTACTTCTGGGACATGATGGTATTCGGTTTCAATTATAGTCTTGATTATGTGTGATACTGTAAGCTGCTCAAAATCCCATGAAAAGGAATCAAAATTTAGCTTTCTTTGCATACTAAACTTATGTGCCTCATTTATCTGGTTTCTAATCAATTTGCTTATATTGGTACATCTTCACGCTTCCACATCCTGGTGTGTGTTTGCTGGTGGGATCTGCAGCCCAGTCGCAGCCGATTCGCTGTCTCCCTCACCATTGCCCCTGAGTCGAAATAATCTGCTGCCACCTATTGGCACAGCTGAAGTGGAACATCTGAGTGCTGTGGGGCCACAAAGGCAAATGGTAGGTCGCTCATACTGCCCTTCACTTGCTTCTTAGGAAAGCCTCATTGGCAGGGATCCACAGGCTTTGTGCTCTAGTCTTGAGTTATACCATGATCTGTTAAAAGTACAAACTGAATTCTAATTGTGACAGAATTAAGAGTGCCTTGGCCTGTACTAACCACACTTTGTAGGGCTGATATAGAACATGTGCAGCTCCCACTACAAATTGTTCCAGCTTTTAAATGCTTCCCAAATTCCCTAAACAGCCAGGGCTGGGCCAGACTAAAGCCCAAAACTCAAGTTTCCTACCTGGGTCCCAACAGTTACTGCCTCCTGGTGTGTGCCTTAGCAGGAAGCTGGAATCATTAGTGGAAATAGGACTTGAACCCAGGCACTTGGACACAGATGTAGGCATCCCGAATGCCACCTTAACTGCTATGGCAAACACCCACCCTTCAACTGTTTCTGTAATTCTTGTCTCCTCTGCAGAAACCGCACGGCGATTCAAATCGAGCTCGAAGTGCAGTGGTGGATGAGCCTAATCAGCAGCCTCAAGAGAGGCTCCTTTTACCTGACTACTTCTCCAGGCCCAACACAACTCAGTCATTTCTGGTACAGTCATGTACTTCCTGTTTTGTTTTATTTTTAAAAGATTTTAAACAATTTAAAAGGCAGAGTTACAGAGGGATCATTTACCCACTGGTTCACTCCCCAAATGGCCACAATGGCCAGGGCTGGGCCAGGCTAAAGCCAGGGGCCCAGAGCTTCTTCCAGGTCTCCTAAATGGGTGTAGGGGTCCAAGGAATTGTGCCATCTTCCAGTGCTTTCCCATGTGCAGTAGCAGGGAGCTGGGTGAAAAGCAGTGCAGGCAGGTTTCAAACTACCACCCATTATAGGATGCCACATCACAGGTGGCAGCTTAACCTGCTACACCACAATGCTGGCCCTTCCTTTATGCTCTTAATTACTGAGGAAAGAAATGGGGGAAAGAAGTACTAGCTTGGTAGAATTAAGTAAGAGAGACAGAGAGAAAGGTTTTCCTTCCGTTGGTTCACCCCCTAAGTGGCCACTACTGCCGGTGCACTGCGCCAATCCGAAGCCAGGAGCCAGGTGCTTCTTCCTGGTCTCCCATGTGGGTGCAGGGCCCAAGCACTTGGGCCATCCTCCACTGCCCTCCCAGGCCACAGCAGAGAACTGGACTGGAAGAGGAGCAACCGGGACAGAATCCAGCACCCTGACCGGGACTAGAACCCGGGGTGCCAGCGCCACAGGCGGAGGATTAGTGAGCTGCAGCGCCAGCCAGAATTAAGGTTTTTATCAAGTAGCTTAACTCCAAGGATAAAAACTGAGGTTTGAGATCAGTTCTATCAGACTGCAGACTGATGCACAAGTTAGGATTTTTTTCCCCCCACAGTGGTTTTAAATACTGACACATTGCCTCACCATTTATGCTGCATTCACTAGCCCTCTTACTTTTAAGCAAGCAATAGGAAACTGGGGGTCTGACCTTGTCCTTTTGTAGGCCAGTAGCACCTCACCCTCATCTTCTTTGTGCCAAGAGGGCTTGGAGAGCCTGGAAAGACTGGAGCCAATACTTTATGCCCAGTAACCAGAGGCCCCACATCCTGCACCAGTTTCCAGGGTAGTAGTGCACACAGCCCACTTATCCCAACCCATGACCCTTGAACCTAAAAGTCTGAAGCATTGTACAGCCTTTCTTCTACTAGAGGAGTAGTGAGAGATCACTTCTCGGCCTTTTGTCTAAGATCAAGTGTGTGAAGAGTAGTGAGAATGAAGGACAGGATTTTGGATTAGTTTCTAAGGGCTGCTGTAACAAATGACCACAAACTGGGTGGCTTAAAACACAGAAATTTATTCTTTGTTCCAGAGGCTACAAGTCCAAAATCGAAGTGTCAGCAGAGCCATGTTCCCTCTGCAGGCTGTAGGGGAAAAACTTCTCCCAGCAGTCCTTAGCGTTCCTTGGCTTGCACCTGCACCACTCTGTCTTTACAGTGGCCTTCTTCCCTGTGGTCTGTGTCCAAGATTCCCTCTTCTTAGAAAGATGCCAGCATTGATGCAGAGCCCCCTCTAATCTGGTGACTTCACCTTACCTTGATTACATCTGCTCGGACTCTATTTCCAAATACGGTCACATTCACAAGCTCCAAGTGGACATGAATTTTTGGGTGGCCCAGACATGGGGGACTATTCAACCCAGTATACCTCATGATACTTCAGAGGAAAATTCACCAAAAACAAAGGCAAAAAGGAGATGTGAGCACTTCCAATACTTGAGGTTCAAAGTTTACATCAGAAAGTCTGAGAACCTCTATTGAATATCTTCTCATAATCTGATACAGGTTAACAAGTGTTTAGTATTTGTTGATGATATCCGGCTATATTTTTTCTTTAAAAATTTAAATTTTGATTGCTTTAATAAAACATGAAAACATTTCCATTTCTCCTCTTCATAAGTCTACAACAAAGTGAAAACTACTTACCTCAGCCATTTGTTTTCCCATTTGCTGTTGTAAAAAGGAAGATGAGCAAGAAGCTTGATGTAATTATGAGTGTTAATTCTGAGTCCTAGGCTTGGTGCTGCCAGAATGCATTCTGTTCCCTTAGCGTCTTCATCTGAAGCAGGGGTCAGTAAACCACAGTTCATAGGTCATTCGGCCTACTGCCCGTTTTTGTGAAGGGAGTTTGTCTATGACTGCTTTTGCACTACAACTGCAATGCTGAGTAACTGCCGCAACACCATTCGGCCCACAATGCCCAAGATATCAACTATCTGGCTCTTCACAAAAACCAGGTTTGCTGACCCGATCTCTAGAATATGCGGACTTTAGTCCACCCAATTCCTTAATCTGTCAGTTCCAGTGCTGGCAGGGAACTGTGAGGTGGTTTGTATACCAGAAGCCCCAGGATGGCATTTATGTTTTAGATACTTGCATTTTAGTATTATAGTCCTGTCTTTACATTTTTAAATCTCTTGAGGTAGTTCTGAAATGTTTCACTAAGCTAAAAAATGTAGTTAAATTTCAATATGGTGGTAAAGCCATAGGTATTTCTATGATGCTGAAATGGCTGTTCCTGTTTTAAAAAGTTAGCAGGCAACAGAATCAGATAAAACTCTCTTGGATGCTAACTGAAATAGTAAACCATGTGGATTATTTACAAATGCTAGGATTCTCATAAAGGCATGGAAATATAATTGTCGAATCTAATTTTTACCAACTTAATAAACAGCATTATGGGTATCTGGCTTTGAATCTTCTGCCTGGAAGTTGGTATCGCATACTTAGGTTGCCAGATGGTGCCTTTTCCAAGATTATCAGTTGCAAGCTTTTCCCTTGTCAGCCAGCTCAAGTGTATTCTTTAGGGGAAGCTGCATTTTAAGAAATGTTTCATCTTTTCTCTTTCAGCCAGACTCCCAGTATGGTCGTTCATTTGCAATTGAGTATCCTCATAAGGCCCGACCTGGTAGGGGATTTGCAGGTACAGGTGGGGCTATGTTAAGACCCTGTGTTTTCTTTCTTTTTTTCCCTACATTTTTTCTTCCTCCAGATTTTCTTTTGTTTTTCTACATCTTTATATCACCTCAAATTCATGTTGGAAGATGGGGGTATACTGAAAGAGTTCTGTTGTTTGGAAGCAAAGTTCCAGATTTCTATTTTCTTCATGCTTTGTAAATTAATCCCACCGCACCATTAAATGACTTAAAAAAAAAAAAAACAAAACTAAAAAAATTGAGTCAAATAAGTCATTTTTGTAACATTCAAAATGTTCTTTAAAAACAGGGCATGCTTTTTCTATTATTATGTAGGCAAAATCTCTTTTCTTATGGACTAAAATGATTTCCTCAGCCTGTTAAACAGGCCAAAGAGAATAATTTTTAAAACATCAGGATAAGAATATGACTATCCCATTAACTTTAAACTCTAAAATTATATTCTGCAGAGTGTCCTTTTCATAATGCACATTTTCCATAATTTTTTGGAAGGCTCTCATATTAACAAAGTGATGGGGAAAATTTCAGGATGTCTTAATTTTTCCTATGATGTTTTCTCACCACCATCATGGTCATTTCTCATTCTGTTGTAGGTGAAATACAGAAGTACTTGTTCGGTAAATACAGTAAAAAACACCTCAAATCATCCTTGTTGTCCAGGGGATTTCTCCTAGTTCAGTTGCTAGTTTGAACAGTTTGGTAGTCTGAATGCTTTCAACACTTTCTAGAAGCAGTGCAGCCTCTGGGCTACAGTGATTACATTCTGCCACACTGACAGTCAAATCTAACACTTAGGGTAGGGAAACAGGTATCTCAGTCCTTTTTTGGTTTGTGGGCTGATCTTCAGCAAAACTAGGTTACTGCTTTTTTTAACTCAAAAATTGGAGTCTTGAAAAAAATTTTACAGGATAAAATTTGTAAACATGATTTTTGTTATCTTGATAAACAAAACTTTCCTACTCAGTCCTATTCTCCAGGTTTAAAGTCCAGTGCTAAATGGAGCAAAAAGACCCTGAGCTACAATTTGAGCTTAAATATCAGATCTAGAATGTCTACTAACGTTACTCTATGATGTCATTTGTGTCTGACAGGTCCTCAGTTACACGAATCTACAAAATCTCAAAGCAGAGGTGGACCAGTCTCTAGAACCAGGCAGGGACCATAGGGCAAATGAGAAGAACCTATCAGGCTGCAGAAAACACATGGGAAGATTACACCAATCAGTGTTGAGTCACCAGGTGATGCAGAGCTTATGTACAAGATCAACTTGAAATCATCTTCATGAAGAGCTATTTAAGACTGAGAAAAACACAATAGACTGTCTGCCAAAGATTACATGGGTATCGTTTCTATCTCCAGTTACTATCTTCTTTCAGCTTAAGTGAATCCATTCCTCTGGACAATAAAATTTGTACCCAAAGCTGTAACAAAGAGTAGTTGCCACTAAATTACTGCTCAAATTATCTGTTAACAATGATCGAATACTATTGGATTCTATGAGATCAGATTTGACAGAAACAGCAAATACTTCAGCTTGTATTAATTTCTGGAGAGTTGTGGTTTGTCATTTTGGGGAGGTAATGCTATAAAAAAAAAATCTAAGCTACTCTTCAAATAGATGTCACTCCTACAGCTTTCTCTTCAAATGTTCACTACTCTCAGTAGACTGAAATGGAAGGGGAACTGATAACATAGCATTAAGCACAGGTGTGAAATACCTTAGGTAACAAAATATAATGCCTTTTTTTTTCCAGACAGGACAACTCAGCCTTACAAAGGCTACTTGAAACTAGGTTATGCTTATTTTCTTCCTGAAGTACTTTATTGGCCACATCTTTTTTCCAAGTATCAAACTCACCTTCAAGGTTTTCTCCTGCAGCTCTAAGTCAATTAAAAATAGTCTGCAGGATTTACTAGTGAGCCACCAAGGTGCAATTTCCTAAAAATCAAAGGAACCTTGTCAGTTAATCCCATGTGAAAATATCCTAACAACATAACTAGTAGATGACTGTGGCTTTCTTCTGATTTCACCACAGGCTCTTTCCTAAGGGCACTCATGAATGTAGCAATGGCTTTAACGATGGATTTTGAAATTTCACTGAATATCATGATCATACCAATCTTAGATTCCATTATTTTCAAAATGAATAGACTCAAATGACCATAAATTGAGGCGACTTTCACATTATACCAAGGTCTTCTAAAGTTATCATATGAAGACAGATGCTTCAAAAAAGCTGCATTTAATTATATTTTTAATTCAATTAGTTAACCTGCTTGTAATCACAAATGAAAAATGTCTCATATTTTCCTTAAATTGATACATTATATAACAATACAATATCCAACTTATTTAAGTAAAAATATCTGTACTGTTCTTACAAACCAATCCCATGACTTCACTTTAATAAGGCTTGCCACCCAGAGATAAGAGTCAGAAAGGGGCCTCTAAAGTCATTTAGCCCAATTCCCTTATGTGTGCAGTCCCTGAAAGTTAGAATGCGTTTTTATTTTACTGGACATAATATATACAATTCGGTGAATCTGGATCTCTCTCAAATATGAGGAAACAAATTCAGACAAGCAAGCCTTCAGAGAGATGGGCCTACAACATACAACTCTTTATGCTATTTAAACCAGGCTGCCGAGTATAATGCTAAAGCAGGTCAGTGTTTTCCCCTCTCTTCCCTATCCCAAACACCACTCATTTTATCTAGATCACATTTTTAAATGACCACTACGATCATTTAAAAAGTCCCCAGAACTTAACAACCATCTTTTATTTATTTAATCATATACAATTCTTAAAAAATGCATGAAGTAATCTGAACACCTCTTTTCTCTTAGACTGCAGAATAACAAACCTGACTGAGTAAAATTGATAGGCAAGAGGGTGTATTCAGGATCATTAAGCACAAAAGCAAACCAGCAACCATCTGGAAGACAGCTTCAGTAAGCACTCTGAAGGTGTTCCAGCCAGGCAGAGTACCTGTACTAGCTGACACACAACATCAGTGAACAGTGTACACAGGCCCACACTCAGACAGAGGTCCGTGTAGTATGCAAGATACACGAAGCAAGTGCTACAAGCATACCACCCTCCCAAACATCACCACCACAGTCCTTCCTGTGTGGACCTCCCACAACATAGGTGATTTCTAGGGAATACTAAAATATGGTAGGGAAACTCTGCTGGGTTTACTCAACGTGAATAATTTAGGCGGAAAGAAAACTTCTCTCAAGGGTTTCACTTTTGCCTTTGAATTGTGACTACCCTGCCTAAAGTGGCACCGGGTAGGGAATGCCTAAAGAAAGACCTTTGAAGAGAAAAATGCCATTATTTCTTTTCTTTCTTGAGAGCCGTTTTTTTCCCTCCTCCTTTAGAAGGTTTGCAGTACTTTGCCTCCATCTGAGCCAGAAAATTGTCCATTTCCTTTTGCCGATCCTTTTGTCTGCTCTGTTTGAGAAGTTAAAACACAAGCTTTCAAAATCCAGCAAAATCAACAGACACAGAAAATACTTAGTGGTTACCAGGAGCTGAAGGAAGGGGAGAGTGGGAGGGACTGCTAACAAGAATGGATTTCTTCATGGAGTGGTAAAAATATTCTAGGATAAGACAGTGGTGACGGCTGTAGAACTTAGTGACTACTATAAAAACTACTGAATGTACACTATAAAAACAAACAGCTGCTATATGAGTCATGTCTTGAAGAAAAAAAATACCCACCACACCACATATATGCTCCACAGAAAATAAAGCCAATTGGAATCAGAACATGAAAGTGGTGACAGCCTCCCAAGTTTACCTGAATGAGTGCTTTCAAGTTATCCACTCCTTCATCAAGCCCCAGTTCCTTCCTGCTCACTTCTGCTTCTTTAGCTTCTTCCTGAGCCTGAAACAGAAACTCACATCAGAGTCTATGGCAGCTAGAAAATGCTAAAATAGCCCTTTCTCAGAAACAAATCTATGGTAAGACCTGCTAAATTTGAGGGTTACATTAATAGGTAAAATAACAAATACTTATTAAAAGGCAACATTGCTGAAAGCAGGCAGTGGGTCCTCGGATTCCAGTAAGCCTTCCCTTTTTTCCCCATTTCTACTTACTGGAAGTAGTGAATGCTTTGGCATCATTAACCACATGGTGACAGAAAGGAACACAATATACAGGAAAAGCCAGGAAAGATCACTTAAGCAAGGATGTTCTCAAAAGGGTTGTCAGGACACAGGTACTTCCGTTCCTTCTCTTTAAAATCAATTTTTTTAAAAAATTTGTCAGGTACAGACAGAAAGAAAGGTCTTCCTTCCGTTGGTTCACCCCCCAAGTGGCCGCTACGGCCGGTGCTGCGCTGATCTGAAGCCAGGAGCCAGGTGCTTCTCCTGGTCTCCCATGCGGGTGCAGGGCCCAAGGACTTGGGCCATCCTCCACTGCACTCTCTGGCTACAGCAGAGAGCTGGACTGGAAGAGGAGCACCAGGGACAGAATCCAGCACCCCACCCGGGACTAGAACCTGGGGTGCCAGCGCCACAGGTGGAGGATTAACCAAGTGAGCCACAGTGCCAGCCCCAAAATCAACTTACTACATGGGACTAATGGCTGCCTTGTTATCAACTCTGGTTTAAAACTATCTCTGCTGAGTGGGCAAAAAAAACATAAGCAAATACATCTTTAACCTTATCTTACTAGGTTTCAAAGCTGCCTTCATGTGCCAAATTTTTCAAAATACCCAGCAACTTCTCATGACAACAACTATGGCTATAACTGGCCCCAACTTCTGTTGAATTATCTAAGTAGCAAAGAATACTATGAATACTGGGGATGATGACACATTAGGACCATGTTATCAATAAAGACAGTTTTCTTGTATTCAAGTCATCTTCTCAATTCAGTATCCCCGTTCTGCCACATTTGCTAGACAGTCTCAGAACTATGCCTTCTTCCCCTCAAACCCTAGGGTAGTTTCCCAAGCTAATTATCACTGTAAACAGCCAAGCTCAGTTTCACCTGAGGAAAAAGCGTATGTCTAAAACCTTTTAGCCAAGGCCAGTGTTGTGGTACAGCACATAAAGCCATCTCCCATATCAGCCACCGGTTGGAGTCCTGGCTGCTCCACTTGTGATCAAGCTCCCTGCTAATGGCCTAGGAAAAGTGCTGGAAGATGGTCCAAGTGTTTGGGCCCCTGCCAATCATGTGAGGGACCGGATGAAGCTCTTGGTTCCCAGCTTTGGCTTGACCCAGACCCAGCCATTGCAGCCATCTGGGGAGTGAACCAACAGATGGACGATCTGTCTCTTTCTTTTTCAAATAAATAAATACATCTTTAATAAACACATTTAGCCTACAAACCAAAATGATTATCTTGATAGATACCCCACTTCTCCCTTCAGTTCAACAGAAAGAGCATCAACTTTCATCTAGGCAAAACAGAAATAAATTTTTCCCAAAACCAAATTTCTCTCCACCTATATTTTGCTCCTAAAAGCTGCAGACCTCTTCCTTGTCCCCCTCACCTCCAGTTCAGCCATAGAAAATGAAAGCATCTCAAGTACCCACCAAAGAGCTAAAATCTTAGTTATCTGCTCTCCATAGAATCCTTATTATGAAAGTGACATCGAGGTACTGACTACTTTGGTGCCAATCCAAGGAAACTGTCCAAAAAAACCAGAGATGTCTGGTAACCTGAACCCATTCCACAACTCCATCTATCTTTAAGCACTTTTCCTCTGCCATCATCTCCAGCCCTCCCCTTGTTTACTAAGGGTAAACAAGGTAGCGATCATTCATTCTTGACAAAGCTTGGTCAGAAGGATACAGCAAAACAAGTATTTAAAAACATTCTGGGGCCGGTGTCATGGTGTAGCAGGTAAGGCTGCCACCTGCAATGCTGGCATCCCATGTGGGTGCTGGCTCAAGTCCTGCCTGCTCCATTTCCGATCTAGCTCCTTGCTAATGAGCCTGGGAAGGCAGCAGAGGATAGCCAAGTGCTTGGCACCTGTGCCCACATGGGAGACCCAGAAGAAGCGCCTGGCTCCAGATCGGCCCAACTCCTGCTGTTGTGGCTGTTTTGGGAGTGAGCCAGCAGATGGAAGATCTCCCCATCTCTTTCTCTATAACTGCCTTGCAAATACATAAATCTTTAAAACAATAACAACAACACAGAAACAACCTAAGAACTAACCTTACAGCAAAGGCCCAATAATCTGCACCACAGTGAGGTCCTCTGGGAAAGCCACTGTGTATTCTATGTTACTGGACTCCATTCCTTTTACCTCCTGAGGAATGTCTCAGCAAAGCTCCAAGAACAGGCCCGTATGAAAAGTATTTCAGTATTTAAGAGGGTACTATTTAAACAATCCACACAGGAAAAGCACCTTGAGCAAAACTACAGAAAAAAGCTCCTGAGGAGCTGGTAAGCCCATTTAATTAGATGAGCGATATGGATCCAGTTAACTTCAGCAGTCATATATACAAATTTATTGTTCTAAATATTCTCAAATCCTTTTTGAAAGCAACTAAGATATATAAAATGAGTAGTAATAAAAATTTTACCCGCCTTGCGGCGCCGGCACACCGGGTTCTAGTCCCAGTCAGGGCTCCGGATTCTGTCCCGGTTGCCCCTCTTCCAGGCCAGCTCTCTGCTGTGGCCCGGGAGTGCAGTGGAGGATGGCCCAAGTGCTTGGGCCCTGCACCTATGGGAGACCAGGAGAAGCACCTGGCTCCTGCCATCGGATCAGCGCAGTGCGCTGGCCAAAGCATGCCGGCCACAGCAGCCATTGGAGGGTGAACCAACGGCAAAGGAAGATCTTTCTCTCTGTCTCTCTCTCTCACTGTCCACTCTGCCTATCAAAAAAAAAAAAAAAGAAAAGAAAAAAAGAAAAAAAATTTTACCCTTCTTTTCCTCGCGTTCATCTTTTGCTTCGATTCTTTGACAAAGGCCTTGTAGGATGGGACCTCTCTGGCATCAATAGCTTGCTGAATGATGTTCCTTATCCTGGGTTCCTCCGTGTATTGCACACAAAGCACAGACTCCATGATCTGATCCATATCGCCCTTGAAGTCCAGATAGGCCTGTTTGATATCGGCCAGCTCTTCTTCAGAACCTTTGTATGTCTTTTCAAAAGCTTGAATGTCCTCTAGAGATATCTGATAAAAAGGAAGATATGCTTTAGCGTTGAGGTGTTTAAATAAAACATGTAAAAACGGGAGAATTAAATAAAACATGTAAAAACGGGAGAATTAAGTGTCAAAATGCTGCTCCCCAAACACACCAGTTGCTTGAGTTGAACTGTGGCAAGGCACCAAATTTCCTGCATCTAACTTTTCCGCGGGTTCTTTCTGATGCCGCCTTCACAATTCCCAAATGAAGACCCAGGGTCGGGGAAATTCAAGAGAACTCTCACGGGTGGGAGGAGGTTCAGATAAACAGGCTTACACATGCATGCGTAAAAGTAAGCAAATCCTGTAAAACGAATTCTGCCTTGTCACTGCAACAGTCACATCATTCTAACAGGGAACTCATTTCGGTATGTGCATTTACATTTCAAGGCCAAACTCAAATTCATTCCTACGAAATGAACACAAAACGCAAGGCCTTGGAGACATTCAGTCAACGTTTGCGGACCGAATGCGCGTCAGCAAGAAACCCCCAGAGCGCCGTACCTTTTTGAAGAGTAACCTCCAATACGCCTCCCAGTCCCGGTCTTGGTTGAGCACAGTCGCGTCCTCGTCCACTGTCCCCTGCTCATCGTACACCGCTCTCTGCTCTTTGTCACTCAGAACGGAATAGACTCGCCCCAGGATCTGAGGGGAAACGAGCACCCAACATTCACCCCGGCACTCCCGCAGGGACCGCGCCGCCAGAGGTGGAGGTGAGGGAACGCCGGGCCCAGAGCGGCCGCCTCCCCCGGGGCGGAGCCCGAGGGCCGGAATCCCAGCGAGGCGCTGCGGGGCCGGCCGCCGAGGCCCGGGGCCCGCGTACCTGAAAGCGGCGGGTGGCGTCCTCCTTGTCGCTCTCGCCCACCCGGTCCGGGTGCACCTGCAGGGACACCTTGTGGTAGCCGCGTCGGACCTCGCCGTCCGAGGCCTCGCGCCGCACGCCCAGCACCTGGTAGAGGTCAGCGGTCCCGAACACTTCCTCGCACAGCTCCAAGAGTGCCATGCCGAGCGGCAGGCGGTCTCGGCCGCCACAGCCGGAGTTCCAGCGCTCGCCACACCACCCGGGCGCTGTCTTTTCCCGCTCAAATAGCCTAGGGCGCCTGCGTCACAAGAGGCGCGCAAGGGGCGGGACCACGCTGCGCAGCGGCGCTTTACGGCGACCGCAAAAGGGGCGGGGCGCGCCGGCGCGGGCGCGCAGAATTCGACCTGCGGCGCAGCGCGCGGTCCGCAGCCCGCGGCCCCGGGGTCTCCCGGGTCTGCACGGAGGCCGCCGTCGGCCCGGTCCCCTCACCCCGTCTTCTGGCCGCCCTCCCACTACCCTGGAAGCCGGCGTCCCTCGTCCCCAGTGTCCCAGCGCGGAGACCTTTTCAGTAACACGCGGAGTGTCCCCACGTTAGTTTGATTTTATAAATGGCCAGCGTGGGGGTTTTGTTTTAAAGTAGACAACAGCACTCGGCAACTTCACCTCGTTTGATGTGGTTAGTTTTCTTTTCTTTTCTTTTCTTTTTTTCAGGGACCCTGAAAGGAGTAGAGTGCTGTGGGCCCAAGTGATTTTGTAACCTATGGATTGCAACTGCTGTGGTAAACAACGCAGGAAAAAGCCTACATTGAAACAAACAAACAAAAAAAAACTCTTCATCTAATAAGACCTACGGATTTGCCATTTACCACACGATCAACCGCAGTCACCGTTCTGTTCTCAAATCAGCTTCCGGGCTGGCGGGGACAGGTGTCTGGTGCGCAAGTTAATAAGGCTCTTAGCCCCTGCTAAGTGCACGCCCTGGGAGACAGCAGGTGATGGCGCCAGTGCTTCGGCCCCTGCCACCCACAAAGGGCACCTGGCTTCAGCCTGGACTCTTCAGGCCTTTGGGGAGTGAACCAGCAGATCTCTTTTTCCCCCTTTAAATAAATGATTTTTTTTTTAAACTTACACTCTGGTAGAAATAACATGACCCAAACCTTCATCTTAATGAAAACAAGGTGCTGAAGCAGCAAAGGGCCGTTTTTTCTCAATGCTCTGTATGGCTTTGATCCCTCTGCATTAGAGGCGCTAGCAGGGCAGACTGGATCACCCATGACATGGAGAGAAACTTGGGCTTGGAGATCTAAGCAACACTAAGCCTGGAGAAAAGTTTGGGAATCTGGGAGAGGGTAAGCTCACATGGGAAATACACGCGTGCAGATCTTAGAGGATAAACCAGAATTCAGAATGAATACCTGAGCAGGCAGAAACTCAATGCAAAAAAAAAAAAAAAAAAAAAACTCAAAACCATCTGTGTGTGAAGAGACAAAGCAAGACAAGAGGTCCCATCTGCTGGGGCCGGCATTGTGGTGTAGCAGGTTAAGCCTCCACCTATGACACTGGCACCCATCCACCTCTGATCCAGCTCCTTGCTAATGTGCCTGGCTAATCAATGAAATATAGCCTAGTGCTTGGGCCCCTGCACCCACACAGGAGACCTGGAAGAAGTTCCAGGTTCCTGGCTTTTGGATTGGCCCAGCCCTGGCTGTTGCAGCCATTTGCAGAGTAAACCAGGAGATGGAAGATTCTTTCTCTCTCTTCCCTCTTCTTTCCGTAACTCTGCCTTTCAAATAAAAAAGTAAATCTTAGAGAAAAAAAAAGAGGTCCCATCTACTAGTTCACTCCACAAATGCCTGCAACAGCTAAGGCTGAGCCAGAGTGAAGTCAGAAGCTGGGAACTCTATCAGAATTTCCCACAAGGGTGATTCCAACTCTTTGATGCATCACCTGCTGCCACCCTGGGTACACGCTAAGAGGAAGCTGGAATCAGCAGAGCTAGAACTCAAACCCACACACTTCAGTACAGGATACGGGCATCTTAACCACTAGGCCAAACACCTACCTCATAGCTTTTAAACCTCTCAGAATTGCCAGTTTTCAAAACGCTCTCCCTTCCCAGACTCAAGATCAAACCTAGCTAGTCAGTTCTTTTCAGCCTGTCTTGGCTTCAAAGTCTCCTTAAGGCAAGTAAACCAACTGGCCACAACTCTGGAGAAGCCTGTGACCCCAGCATTGGATGGCTAGGAAGTTTTTGCCAAATATAAAAACCCATGTATCCAGTTGGCACACTGACAGGGTTCAGAAACTTTTCTATAAATTTCCTTCATCTTAAGTCTGCCAAAATTTGCAATCTGTATTATCTACAGTGTACACTAAAACAAAGTAATTCAGTATGGTTGTATGGTAGAGCTGATAATGTGATATTTTGCTTTGGCACAATTAGTCATTTATATCATGAACTTACACCTAGACATGATTTTACCACTAACTTTCGACATGGACTTTTCAAAGGTCCCTAACTTTGCTCATTTCTTTCTCTATATAGATAGTATGCTAGAAGGACTTTTCAGGTAGGCATATTAGCGTCTAAATCCACTATCACTGGGCAAGTTTCCACCTCTGAGCCTCAGCTTCCCCATCTGTAAAATCGAAATAATCCTACCTAACTTCATGTTACTTTATAATCCTCACAAATAACTTGTATGTAAAGGACATACAATACACATAGGTACCCTATGAAGTGAGCTTTCCCCCAGTTTCTCATTCTTAAAATGCAGGTTATTACAGCCCAAAGGCAATTTTCATACCCAATCTCCTTTGTTAAATTGTGTTTTAAAGATTTTATTTGAAAGAGTTATAAATGACTGCAACGGCCAAAACTGACTTGATCCAAAGCCAGAAGCTTCTTCCACGTCTCCCACATGGGTACAGGGACTCAAAGACTCGGGCCATCTTCTACTGCTTTCTCAGGCCATAGCAGAGAGCTAGATCAGAAGGGGAACAGCCAGGACTCAAACCGGCACCCATATGGGATGCCGCACTGCAAGCTGGGGCTTTAACCCACTGCGCCACAGTGCCAGCCACTCCTTTGACAATTTGAAATCACACATGAAGTAAGACAATATAAATCTCTAATGACAAAAACAATAAACAAAGTTAACTGTTTTCTTGAGCTCATGGGATACTGGGAGTTTAAGGAAAGATTTGTATGTGCCATAAAAATTCCGGCTGGGGGCCCTGAAGCAGGTATGTCCTAGAGGGTATCAGATAGTAAGGTAAAACTGTCCAAGAGACCCAGGACGCTACCTAAAAGTACCATCCCCCTCATAGCCACTGTCTTTCCCAAGAAGAAGACCCCCCAAAACGAATTAATACCTAGATTCTGCTCTATGTAGGACAGGAATGAATCTCTCTGAGCCCTTCTCAGGCCAGGCTGGATATGCATGCCTGACTCAGAAAACTTCATTTATTGACTTTCAAATCTAACAAAATAAAGAGTTGTGCACTAGTGTTTCAAGAGAACCTTGACCTTGTTCCCACTGCTATCCTCACTGAAATCAGCTTGCTTCTGTTTCTGTAGACTTTGTCTCTGTTTCCTGAGAAGCTAAGAGGACTTCATTCGCTCGCTTCCTTCGCAGTCTCTCAGCATTTGTGATCGTCATAGGATGCAGAGGGAAAAAGCCAGCAAGACCTAAAAGCAACAGGATTTTCATTTATTGTAACACAGGACAAGCCAACATTTCCCTGGAACTCTGCCCCAAAGGCACCGAGGATACTCGGTGCTACCTCTTCACCCAACTTCCTCCTTTTACTGCAAGAAGACAGCAGATGATGCCTGTCTTCCAACATTATCCTTACTTGAATGAAAGGTAAACTGACAGATGGCCATTCAAGACACACTACGCCACTTTCAGCATAAAACCCCAGTCACTCAAAAAGTCACAAAGAACTCTATAATAAGAGGTCTTGGGGCAGTGCTGTGGCGTAGCAGGGCCTGTAGTGCCAGCATCCCATATGGCCGCTGGTTCTAGTCCTGGCTACTCCACTTCTGATCCAGCTCTGCTACGGCCTAGGAAAGCAGTAGAAGGTGGCCCAAGTCCTTGGGCCCCTGCACCTGCATGGGAGACCCAGAAGAAGCTCCTGGCTTTGGATCGGCCCAGCTCCAGCCATTGCGGCCATTTGGGTAGTGAACCAGCAGATGGAAGACTTCTCTCTCTCTCTCTCTGCCTTTCAAATAAGTATCTTTAAAAAAATAAGTCTAAATAAATAAATGGTATGAAAACTCTGTTGAGCCAACCATTAAAAAAAGAAAGAGGTGTCCTAATTCAAAAATGACGATTAGATCATAATTTCATTTCCCATTCCAGTCCCGAGCAGCCCCGTTATCCTGCAGCTGTCTTCACTTTAAAATCCCCTCAGTGAGGTAAGACCAGAGCCCAGTTACCCAGAAGCTTTTCCATAGGCTTAGAGAGGTGGGCCCCGCAGCCAATCCAATGCCGGATCCGGTCTAGGTTGAGGGCAACGAGCTTTTCTCCATGACTGTTGGGCAGTGGATCGTAGGAACCCAGCTGCTCCACGAAACGGCCATCCCTGGGGCACTTGTTGTGAGCAGCCACAATGCGGTAGAAGGGGCGGTTGGCGCAGCCACCCAGGGCCAGGCGGATGGTTAAGTGGCCCCCACGGTAGGCCTTGCAGAGGAGGGCAGCTGTGGAGAAACCAGAGGTTAGGACGCAAGCACGGAGTGCACAGATGCGCAAAACGAAGCACGTGCAACGATTCCCTTCTTCCCTTGCCATGTCCGCACTTCCACTCTGGTCTTCCGTGTGCTACTCAGGCCAGAGAAGCCCACCCTCGGCTCAAATGCACTCTGCAGAAGCCTGCCCTAGACTAGCCGCGACCCTGTGGCAGCCTTAGTTGTCTCGTCTGAAAAACGAGATGGGGGTGGCAGCGAGGACTAAGTGCCAAGATTACTAAGCGCAGACTCACTCGTGAGGCAGAGTGGCTGCTTCAGGTTCGGGTGACCTCCAGCCCGCCTAGCAGCTCACAGCTCCACCCGGTCCGAACGCCTTAGATGCCCCGCGGCCGCCAGGCGGTCTCCGGCGGCCCGATTACTCACTCAGGTGGACCATGGTCCGGCCGGCGCGTCACGCCTCAGGTCGTCCCGCCGCCCGCACCAACCGGCTCCCGAGCCGCTGGCAGGAGAGAGGACGGCCGCCGACCACAGGCACCGCCCGGGCCAGGACCCAGCACCCTTCGCTCAAGCCCGAAAGCCCCGCTTCCGGAAGCCGAGGGGCCGCTTAGCCCCGCCTCTTCCTCTTTTCGCCTCAGTCCTTCCCATAATGCAACACGGTGCCACTGGCGCTAACTTAAACTGCGGACCGCGGGTCGGTGAGGTCGGGCGGTGAAGTGAGGCGGACTGGGAGAACCGGGCCTGGGGAAGGAGCCTGCTAAGTGCCCTGCAAAACCTCCCACCCTGCGGACATCCTTCTGCTCCCGTTGGGAACGACGCGCCGTGCCGAGGACTCAGGGCGCGGTTCCTGGCCCCGGAAGCTCAGTGTGGTGGGAAGACTGACGCTCCGTGCAGGGGGAACCCTGCAGGAGCTAAACCGGGACTTCCTCGGGAAAACTTAATATATTGTTAGCTCCGAGATGGGAGAAGTATTGTAAATGAAGAGTTGGCTTTTTCCTTCTCTGTTCACTAATTTGCCTCTCACCTTCGCTGCAGTTCTCCGGACTCTATAGAGGCAATGACGCCTTTAACAAAATAGAGGCGAGGGGCCGGCGCTGTGGCCTAGTGGGTGAAGCCGCCCCCTGTAGTGCCGGCATCCCGGCTGCTCCTCTTCCAGTCCAGCTCTCTGCTGTGGCCTGGAGAGCAGTGGAGGATGGCCCAAGTGCTTGGGCCCCTGCGCCCAAGACCTGGAGGAGGCTTCTGGCTCCTGGCCTCGGATCAGCTCAGCTCCTGCCACTGCGCCCATTTGGGGAGTGAACCAGCGGATGGAAGACCCCTCTCCCTTTCTAACTCTGCCTTTCAAATAAAGAAAGAAAAGAAGGTCCAAAATCAATGACCTAAGCTTTCATTTAAAAAATAAAGGAGAAACGTGATTCCTGTGTTTGCCATGCTGTGATCCAGAAAAGCAGGAGCAGAGCGTAGGGCCTCAGTGCTGAGGAGCTGGCGTTCCTTACAGGGCACCGGCGTCTTCATGGAGCCCTCGAGATTTAAGCACAGGAAGGCAGCCTTGGTTGGTTACAGGGAGTCAGAACCTCTACCTTCAGTAAAGACCCGTCTGTCCATTTTACCAAGGGCGTGTCCACAGCTCTATGTCCTTTGCCCTAAGGCAGTGACCCATCATCAGTTTCGAGGCCACCTGTGGAAATAATGCCTTAATTTACAAGTTACAGAAATTCTAATAACGACCCACTCCACTTTAATTTTATATGGGTAATTGTATAAATAATCTGTAGTTACTAATGTAACAATTATAACTACATATATACTTTAATAAACTCCAGAACCACACTGATGGATTTTTAAATTTCTTATTTCCATTTTCGTTGTGACCTCGTTTACTGTCAATGAGTAAAACATCCAGTAGCACAGCCAAAGGAACACATGAATGTGTCTGTGTCTGTGGTTCACATTCTGGTTCTTCGCGCCAGGCTTCCTATTGTGAAACTCGCCAGGAAGGAAAGGAGCTCAAGAGTGCATACAGAAAATTCTTCAGTTGGATGGTTATCAGAAAGATGGATTTCCAAAGCCAACTGTCTCCTGTACCATGTGTATCTCTGCCAGCAGAGCCTCATCTTTCAATTTCAGCTATAAGAAGAAGGAAGGGAAGAAGATATGTCATACCTTTATGGCTTTGAAGACCCCTCATTTGTGGACCCAAAGCTGAAGAACATAGTTCCTTGGCATGGAATTGGCTCTTGCTATATTCCCTATTCAATGGAAACTCCATTAAAGGAGCCTAGAATACTGTGCTGCTGATATGGGTAAGTTTATTTTGTGAAGATTCATCAAGTGCTGTGCACATTCATGATCTGTACTTTTTTGGTAAAATATTTTTATTACGGTTTTTTTTTAAGTGTTCATATTATCACCAGTGTCTCCTGGGTAATGTGTAGTATTCTCGTTTGGCAAGTAAAAGATAGGAATCAAACATATAAGAATCATGGACTTATATTAGCACTGAATTTAGTTCTAGGAATCCAGATGTGTAGTAGAGCCATGAATGCTTCCTGAATACCCAATCTCTTACCAATAAAATCTTAATTTCTTTTCAGGGCAGTACTGCAATCAGCTAAAAAGCCACATCTTCCAGGTTCTCTTGGAGCTACATGACTAACTGTGGCCTATGAAATGTAAGCTCAAGTCACTGAGTAGGAAAGCCTTTTAAATGGTGGTGAATTAGCTGCAGCATGGATGCCTTTTTGTTCCCCTGCTCCTCTTGTTCTTTTTTCTCACCTGAAACATGGATTTGGTGGCTGGAGATACACGGACTATTGTGCAACTATGAGGGATGGAAACTACATGCTGTGATTGATGCAGCAGAAAGAGGTTGGGTCCCTGAAGACTTTGTGGAGCTGTAATTTTTTATGCAATCCTCAAGTCAAATAACTTGCAATTCATAACTAATAGAATAGACCAGGTACTATTCATGAGCCAAATCTAGCTTGCCACTTGGTCCCCCTCCACCCCGATGTAAAACTTTATTAGAAAACAACCATTTGTTTATGTATTATCAATGGCTACCTTGCACAAACAAGGGCAGAGTTTAGTAAGTGCAAAAAGCAGCATGTGTTATACAAACCCTAAAATATTTCCTATTTTACCCTTTATTGAAAAAAGTTGATTGGTCCCTGGATGACACCAACCTCTTCATTTTACATAAGAGGAAAAGCCCAGAGATGTTAACACGATAAGTGGCCAAACCAGAACCATAATTCAGGTCCATTAATTCCCAGGCTACCTGGCTTTCTATTAAGCCATATTCTCTCTCTTTCATTCTTTCTCCCTCCCTCCCTCCCTCCCTCCCTTCCTTCCTTCCTTCCTTCCTTCCTTCCTTCCTTCCTTCCTCTCTTCCTCTCTCTTTCCCTTTCCTTCCTTCCTTCCTTCCTTCCTTCCTTCCTTCCTTCCTTCCTTCCTTCTTTCCTTCTTTCCTTCTTTCCTTCTTTCTTGATTTATTTTATTTATTTGCAAGACATAGTTACAGAGAGAGGTAGAGACAGAGAAAGAGAGAGGTCTTCCTTCCGTTGGTTCACTCCCCAGATGGCTGCAATGGCTGGAGCTGTGCCAATCTGAAGCCAGGAGCCAGGAGCTTCTTCCAGGTCTCCCACATGGGTGCAGGGGCCCAAGGACTTGGGCCATCTTCTACTGCTTTCCCAGGCCATAGCAGAGAGCTGGATTGGAAGAGGTGCAGCTGGGACTAGAATTGGTGCCCATATGGGATGCTGGCATTGCAGGCTCAGCTCTGGCCATTGCGACCATCTGGGGAATGAACCAGTGGATGGAAGACCTCTCTCTCTCTGCCTCTCCTTCTCTCTCTGTGTAACTCTGACTTTCAAATAAATAAAAAGTCATGAAATGCTCTAAAGTCCTGAAAAAAGCCAACACCTTCCTCCCAGTTTCCCAACCTTAGAAAAGAGCAAGAAAGTGACAGAGGCATCTGTGTCCTACCTTTATCGTGTACTTGTACGCCTGCTCAGCTTCCAGTTGCCGTCCAGCCTGAAAAAAAGTATAGCAGCCGATGATGGTGACGACATGTAAACATGCTGGGGAAAGTGCATTCCCTAAAATGGTTCTACCTAAGACAGAAGATGCTATACTCTTCCCGGGTAAAAACCTCTGAATTCAAAGGGAAAGCAGGAAAATGAAAGTGGAAGCTAAAATAAGTGTATGTGTGTGTAGATTTCTGTGTTTCAAAAAGCTTAAAAACACCTGGCCTCTCTCTCCTTTTTTTTTTTTTTTTTTTTTTTTTTTGACAGAATGGACAGTGAGAGACAGAGTTGGTTCACCCCTCAATGGCTACTGTGGCAGGCACACTGCACTGATCCGAAGCCAGGAGCCAAGTGCTTCTCCTGGTCTCCCATGCAGGTACAGGGGCCCAAGCACTTGGGCCATCCTCCACTGCACTCTCGGGTCACAGCAGAGAGCTGGACTGGAAAAGGAACAACCGGCGCCTTGACCGGGACTAAAACCTGGTGTGCCGGCGCCGCAGGCGGAGGATTAGCCTATTAGCCCTTTTTTTTTTTTTTTTTTTTGAAAGCACTGTGAATCATTAAGTCCTCTTAGAAGTGAAGCCGTTCTATTAAAAATAGTTAACACTCATATAATACTTACAAGGTAATTTATATTGTTTTCACTGACCATTTTTAAAGATTATTTATTTGAAAGGCAGAGTTAGAGAGAGACAGAGAGGGAGATCTTCCATCTGCTGGTTTACTCCCCAAAGGGCTGCAATTTGCCAGGACTGCGCTGGACAGAAGACAGGAGCTTTATATGGGTTTTCCATGTGGGTGCAGGAGACCATCTTCCACTGCTTTCTCAGTTGTGTTAGCAGGGAGCTGGATTGGAAGTGAAGCAGCCTGGAGTTGAACTGGCTCCCATATGGGATGCCAGAGTTGCAGGCGGCAGCTTAACCCATGGCACCACAATGCCAGTCCCCTGTTGCCCTTGTTTTAAGTATGTTACTTGCACTGATTCTTAATCCTCAGGATAGCATTTCCCAAATGGCTGCTGTTGTTGGCTACTAGCTGGGGTTGTTTAATTCTCCTCCACATGGCCTTCAAGCCTCGTAAAGTTTAAATTAGTCTTCTTCACAACATGATGCGTTCCCAGAATTTCAAGAGAGCAACAGCAGTAGCTGCAGGGCTTCTCAAGGCCTAGCCTCTGAAAATTCACACGATGTTTTTTCCACCATACTCTACTAAAGAAAGTCGCAAGATCAGCTAAGATTCAAAGTGGAGAAATGAAAGAGACTCCATTTCTTTTTTTTTTCTAAATATTTATTTATTTGGAAGTCAGAGTTACACACAGAGAGAAGGAGAGAGAGAGAGAGAGGAAAAGAGAGAGAGAGAGAGAGAGAGGTCTTCCATCCAATGGTTCACTCCCCAGTTAGCCACAAAGGTTGGAGCCATGTGGATCTGAAGCCAGGAGCCAGGAGCTTTTATGGGTCTCCCACGAGGGTGCAGGGGCCTAAGGACTTGGGCCATCTTCTACTGCTTTCCCAGGCCATAGCAAAGAACGGGATAAGAATTGGGGTATCCAGGACTGGAACTGGAGC